GAAGGGATCTGTTTGCTGTTTGACTCTGTTTTGGGATGCAGAACACTTGACCAGAAACAACAGTGAGGCTCAAGATGTATGAGACAGAGAACACTTTAATTCCTTTTAAATCCTACTAGTTATTATACAAATATAGTTATAGGTTCAAATCTTTTCTCAGATAAATAAAAGCCACAGTGTATCAAAAATATTACAAGATCCCAAAGTTATTTTCTATAGTTAAGAAAGGACAAAATATTGATTGGTCTTTGGAAAACAGCGAAAATACCGAACGGTGCTATATATCCTCACTCTAAGGAAAAGGTGGGGCTCCTCATCAAAGGCAAAGATGAAAACTGAGGCAGCAGGAATGAGTGCCACCTACTGGTAAAATATAAATTCTCAGTATTTTAACTGAAATAGAAACCAGTCTTACTAGAAATTTCAACTAACTGGATTAGAGGTTATGTTTCCAATGATCATTTCTTCACACTGATAGAGAATATCAGATCTTCCCACCCCACAAAGAAAGTCTTTGGTCTGCTGGTCTTCCTCTATTTCAAAACATTCAACAGTAGGAGGCACATAAATCCAAGAGCTTTTACATTTTCTGTAGGTAATTTTAAATTGAAATACACTGCCTCCTAATTTCTACCCACTGATACTAGCCTTCCTTCTGCTACAATATGGTAAACCCCCATATTGGAGGCCTTCATCATCTGAAGGCAGGCATGTCTCCACTTACTTAGCCATCAGATTAAACAAACCCAGTATAGTTTTTTCAAATGCTGTTCTTTAAATCTCCCACCATCCTAGTTGTGGGATGTAGCTTAATCTGTCAATAGTCCATAAAGAATCTCAGAACTTTTATTTCCAACAGGTAACCCAGTAGTACTATTACTTACCTTTTCTGGGCCTTCACACACTATTAACTCATGCTAAGTTTGTGGTCAACTGAAATCCTGTCCAGCGAGATCCTCCCAATCTAGTACTCATGTAATTTAATTATTTGGATCTAATGCAGTCCTGATGTTCATCCTTGTTAAATTTCATCTTGTAACAATTTTGACGGCATTTTGTCAAGATCATTCTGAACCTTGATTCTTGATGCCACCTAAATTTCACAAGCCACACACTATATCTTCATCCAAATCAATTATAAAAAATTGGATATGAAAGCGCCCTAAAATGCAATTAATACTAAGCCACCAAACAATACTCTTTTGGGTAGGGATGTTTATCTAGCTGCAAATCTATTTACTATTTACCAATCTATTTACTACTCACTGATCTATTTCAGCCATTAGGATAATGGAAAATTTAGACAAATGCTTGAATGAAAACAAGGTATCATGTGACAGGCATTCCATGAATATACCGTCCTCATATTACTTTCAAAAAGGTAATTTATTAGTTTAACATGGTCGTTTTCAAGTGAACTCATGGAAAATGTTCATAAACCACACTGGAGTTATCAGTGGATACTTTCCTAAGTCCTCTTCCTTTAAAAAAAAAAATACACTTTAAGAATCAACCTATTTAATGATTTCATGATCAACTATTTAAGACTAAACACTTAAAATGGCAGATTTGTGGCTAACCATACATGTATTTCACTCATTCTAATGGGCTAAAGATCACCTTTTCCAGAATAAAATTGTCCTCCTGAGTGAAATAAATTACGTCTCCTCTGCTTAGGCATCCATGCTTAACTGAACATACTTTATTTAAAAATCAATCCAAAGTTACTTAAAAATTATGAATAGCGACACAGATTGTTCAAACAGTATCTGAGTTATAATTCCACTGGGTTTTGAGATTTAAACAATCATTATGCAACGAACTATATGTCACATTTGCTGGCCTTCAGCTTTTTCTTTAATATATTTTTAACTAGGCGGGGCGCCTGGGTGGCTCAGTTGGTTGAGCGACTGCCTTTGGCTCAGGTCATGATCGTGTAGTCCCAGAATTGAGTCCTGCATCAGGCTCCCTGCTCAGCAGGGAGTCTGCTTCTCCCTCTGACCCTCCCCCCTCTCATGTGCTCTCATTCTCTCTCTCTCAAATAAATAAATAAAATCTTTAAAATATACATATGTTTTTTTAACTAGGCTTTTCCACTTTAAACACCATTTTCTCTGCTCATAGAAAATGGAAGCAAAATAAGAAGTGCTGTTCTTTAGTAGAGTATAGCAATCCAGATGCGGACCCTGAGGCCCAGCTTCCTGGATTCTAATCCCAGCTCTATCATTTATGAACTGGGTGACCTGGAACAGGTTACTTAACCTCTCTGTCCCTCAGTCTCATCTGTAAGTGTGAATAACAACACTACCCACCTTACAGAGTTATGAAAGAATGAAATGAGTTAATATGTGTAAAGCATTAACAGTGTCTGCCACATAGTAAACATTAAATGGGTTAGACGTTTGCTCTAATTCTCATTCTTGATCCCCTATTAATATCAGTCTCCCTTTCTCATGGATCCTTTCCCTGCACTTGCTCTGAAAATAACCATATAAAACAACAGTTAGGAGCTGGGCTCTGAAACCAGAAAGGCCTAGATGGGAGTACTGGCCCACCACTTACCAGCAATGCTACCTTGGAAAATCACCTAACTTTTTCCAGCTCAACTTCCCTCATCCATGCAATGGGGATTAAAAACAGCATCTGTCTTCGTGGGGTTTTTGTGAGAATTAAATAAAAATTATATTAAAAAAAAACTTTACATAGTACCTGGCATGTAGTAGATACTCAGTGAATCTTGGTCAAAATCCCTTTATGGGTTGCCCTCAGCATTTTGGTAGCACAATCTGGGGGCTATTTTCCTTTCCGACAGTCTTAGAGGTTCATGATGCCTTTGACATATATCTTTGATTATCTGCCACTCTCCATCTTTCATAGCTGGTCTGTGCTTTGTAGACAGATACTTCTCTCAACATTCCTCCCCATTTCCTTTCTTTTTGAATTTTTGTGGTTATTATGTCAAAATTTAAGAATTTCCTGTTCTTTGTGAGCCCATTTGTTTTTTGAAGCCTATAACCATGAGACTGTGCCCGTATTTTTCTTCTGAAACATGTGCTTTCTAACATATAGGATTCAAGCTGACTTATTTCTCAACATTATTACAATCTTTAAAGTAAAGTGGTATTTTTTCCCCCCTCAAGAGTCTATCCATTCTATTTCCCTACTTATTGGTAAAAAGTAAATCCAGAATAATGGTTCCCACCACTGTTTCCTCTACCTTCTAGGAGACTCAATCATTAATCAAAAATTGTAGCAGATACTCTTTTAGCAGAATGAAACTTCCAATATATATCTAAAGAACACATCCCTATTACAGTTTGTTTCTCTGTAAATTTTATAACCTGGATTAGACACAATCACCTATAGTCCCTGTCATGGAAGATTCTTTTGCATTTCCCCACCAGAACACCACCTTTTTCCTTTCTTCTTTTACAGCTCTCTGCCACATTCTTCCCCAGCACAGTGGTTTCTGTATCACACATATACACATACACCCCTCATTAGCCCCTCCAAGTGTTCCCTGTTAGAGGTTTCTTTCCAAAAAGTGTACCTTTCAATGGCCAAAGTTCTTTCATAAATACCATCCCATCACTTCTTGGTAATAGACATTCCCTTGTTAAAATATTATATATATTATATATAATATATATAATATATATATATATATATACTGCAATGGTATACGCAAATTTATTTACATACAAGGTATTAGTGCCAAACAGTATTGTTCCCAGTATGGCTTTCTTTTTGCCATATGCCTTCCTCCTAAGTTATCTGATTTCATAATTTTATTGGGGCTTATTCCTCTACTTTACTGATAAATTTAATGAGCCTACAACAAGACAGTAATAAAAGTTACTCTGCCAGAAGCTCTCTACCGTAGCATCAAAGAGCACAACTCAGGAAACCAAACCCTCCGCTCATACCCTCCAGCTCTTAACTGCACTATCCATCCTTGTCTTGCAAAGGTACTGGCATCGAACGGAGTTGTGGAAATATATAAGCTGTGGCTGCTCTTCAGAACATCAAAACCCCTAGATTTCTTCTAAGTATTTCCATTAATGTACACAAGAAAAATTCTTTTGACTGGATTGCAAACTTAAGATAGCAAGGACCACGTCTATTTTACACACTGTACGTCCAGTGCCAGGGGCTGTGTACTTTGCCATACAGACCAAGTTCTGCCCACAGCCCGTCTCTGAATGGCTCATAGCTAAGAACAGTTTTTAAATTTTTTAAGGGCTGGTTTAAAAAAAAAAAAAGAAAGAAAACAAAGAGGAATAAGTGAGAGACCATATGGCCCGTTCTCAAAGCCTAAATTTTCCCATTGGGCCCTTTTTAGAAAACGTTTGTTGACCCTCCGATTTTTGTTAAAAGTGAAGGCAGGGAAGGGAGAGGTGAGGGAGCTCAAAAAATGTGAGGAGGACGAACAGAGACTTGCAATAAATATAACTGCAGATCACAACAAACAGTACAACTCGCATAATAAAAGTTGTACAGGTCTTTACATTGTTCCTTGCCTTCCATTTTCATTGAGTTCCAAGAGAAACTAAAGACCATTCATTAGCCTATTTTAGAGATCTTTCTCTGGGGGGTAACCAATCTGTTGCTGCATTGCCGGTGCTCCTAGAACTAAATTTAAACCCTGGTAGTACACCTCCAACTAGCCTAGTTAACAAAAATGTTAGTTATCAGAAAGGTGTCAGCCCCTGTAAGGTGTCAATTCACAGGTATGCACCCTTATAGACACATCCTTTCCTTCCACATAGCACTAAGTAGCTAATTGCATCAACACTCCACAACATTTTAGGCGTCTGTTCCCATGTGACCTGTTACTTCAAAATTTCATCATTTAGAATGCTCCAAAAGCCCTGAAATAAAGTTGTGAATGCTGAAAAATGTTGAACCAAAACAGGAAAGTCCCACTCTCAAGTACTATAAAGGAGCAGTATTAGACCTATTCATAGCACTGTCTCTTAGAAGCACATGCAAAGGTGTACCTGAAAATGCTGCTCCATCACTTGGATTTTTCCCTGGTCTGGACACTTTTTCAGAGCTCGATCTGCATAGTGGAACAGGATTTCTACCATCTGTAAGGAAAATAGCCTTGTATAGAAAATCAAAACATACTCTAATATTTTTCAATACTTAATATACATGGATCTTCCTAAATAATACAGAATCAAGCTTTATTAAAAATATAATTTAAAATTTTAGTGCCTTATTTCCCATTATTTTTAACCCTAGACTAATTTCTTTCAGCCTCAGGGCTACTACTAATTTGCTCATCTCCAGGTTCTAGACCTCAGTGGTATCTTTGTTGCTCAGGAAATTAAAAACTGAAGGTAAGCTCTTCAGAAATGCTCTGCTATAGGTCTTTCCCTCAAGAACACAGATAGAACACAAATTCCTAAAGTTAATTTTAGCAGATACTGAGAAAATTATTCATGAGTCTGAAAAGTGACCAATTTCTATTCATGTTTTCTATATGCTTACACTAATTTGAAATATAATTTTTACCAATGCATTTGCACAATAAAAAAAGAGCAATGACTATATAATAAATGGAGTCAACCAAGTCTAGATTGGGAAAACAAAGCCAACATTAAATATTAGCATTAATGCTAATTAATAATAATAATAATACAACAGCCCTCTCTGCTACCTCAGGCAACACAAACACACATGTAATATTTCTATTTCTCATAATCACCTGTTTATGAAAACTAACACATGTCAACTTTTTATGGGCTATAATTAGGCTCAGAAATAATCCAGATCTTTGGCTTTCTCCCTCCTCCTTTCTGCTGTCTTTTGGCTATTTTACAATTTTATCATCTTCATAAGAGTGAGCAAGGGAAAAAAGGAAAGGTGATAAAGTTTAAACACATTCAGGATGACACAAGGGAATTCTAACCTGACTTTTTTTTTTTAATATACTTTCTCCTTGACTGTAGCCACTTACCTAATTATGCCCCTAAATTATTAACTAATACCAAAAACAAACCTGCACTGTACCCAAGTAAAGCCCCTATTAAAATACTCACTCGATCTGCAACAACAGCCTTTCGCTTACTGGCATCCCCGGATAATCCTGTAGAGAAGCAAAATCCAGCATGAAAACAAAGTCCACATCTTAAGGACTGAAACTGTTGTGGTCTTCTATTTACAACCCGTGCTAACAAGAGACATAATTATAACAAAAAGTGTACCTATCAATGGCCAGAGTTCTTTCATAATATGCCATAATAAGACCCATCTCCCAACTACCGGACCTGATAACATATCAATCTACCTCCCTTTTATCCCAACAGTAAATTCTTCTTATGAAAGAATTTAAAAAGCGACATTAAAACTCCAAATCCTGTCATTAATCTTTTTCAATGGAAGTCTGTAAGATTTGATAACATCTTGTTCATAAAATATTTGAATGCTAAGCTAACAAGTATTCTATGAGTGCTTATTATTAATATTATTATTCATTCTTTCTACTCTAAACAATGTCTACTACCCTGGTATTCTGTTAACTTACCCACTACTGCTTTTGCTTTTCCTTCATGGAAAGACCATGCAAGAGCCAAGGCTTCTGTAAGACAATCTTGTTTCAGGAGATGATCCACTCTCTAAAATGAATAAATGAGAAAAGCTAGACCCCTTTGTTTGACCAACTAGTAGTTGGAATTCCTATTCTACCTAATACCTTTTCAAAAGTTGTTACTTAACAGCTAAAATTATTCCAATAACCATGTAACTGTATTTGTTTTTTTTTTTTTTTAAGATTTTATATTTTATTTGAGAGAGAGAGAGCACATCCCCCATGAGCAGGGTTGGGAGAGGGAGAGAGGGAATTCCAAGCGGACTCTGTACTGAGCATGGAGCCCGACGCGCGGCTCTATCCCAGGACCCTGAGATCATGACATTAGTCAAAACCAAGAGTTGGACGGTCCACTGACTGAGCCACCCAGGCATCCCTGTGACTATCTTATTTCTAAGAAAAATAATTTCTTAACACACTGGATAGTACAGTGACTGTATGGGCTAATACAGGCAGCCACAAGGCCTAAATATGAAAAGAGACAAAAGCTAGAATGTCACTGTAACAAAAATGGCTCCTTGTTTATCACAACATCCATTCACTCCCTCCTCCCTAGTAACAAATCCCATGTGTACCTGAGACAGCAATATACCAGCTTAAGGACATTTCTAAGACTCCTTTGCAGCCACTTGGGGCCATGTGACTAAGTTCTGGCCAATGACAGGTAAGTGGAAGTGTTGTTTGGCCTTTCTGGGATACAACCTTAAAAGGCAGGGGCCAGCCCTTCTCTTCCCTTTCCTCCTGCCTGGAAAGTGGACTTCACAGTTAGAGCTCCAGCAGCCATACTGGCACATAGAATGAACTAGAGACAAGAATTCACACACAAGGATGGTGGAGCAGGGTGGTATGCCAAAGACCAGAGAGCTGCCGCACTAGCCACAGACTCCCTACCTCCAGAATGTTTTTACATGAGAGAGAAATCTTGTTGAAGCCACTGTTATTTTAAATTTTCTGATATATGTAGCTAAATGTAATCCCAATTTATAGCCAGTTTTATCAAATCAAGTACCTAATAGTGATTCTGATATACACTTCTAAAATTAAAAAGCACAAATCCAAATAATCTTTTCCTGCAAAGTCAAAACAGAAATGTTAAGATACGATCAATTCAGCAGCTCTAACATAAAATTACTTTAAACTCACCTCTCTCCAGCTTCTCAGCATCATCACATAAACAGACTGGAAAATAAAGAAACTGTAATTAAAATGATCATCTTTAACAGCCTTGCTTGGGAGACACATTTGTCCCAGTGCCACATCTCATTTTACATCTAAGGAAAAATACTGCATACTACAGTTAGAGGTATCTACTAAAGGGTTTTCAAGGGCCCACATTAAAGAGTAAATCAAACAAACATTTAATGGTCACTAAGTCTACGTCCAAGGAGTTAACTCCACACGAAAGGAACAAAGAATGCCCCAAATCCCTACACTAACTTAATATTATTTTGAATTTTAATAATGAAGAGATATTTCTCCAAGTTAAAAAAAAAATAAGGAACAAATTGATATACAAAAAAGTTCCTATTCCAGTGATTCTATTCTAAGTCAAACACCTCAATGCATTTTAATACATCCTAAGCTGATCTAAGCTAAAGGACATCTTAATCATATGACAAATATACATGATAAGGTATCTTCCTGGTCATGAAAACATAAATGCGAAGATTATGAAAGTATATCCTTGAATCAAGAAAATAAGCATCCTATGATAACCTAAATGAAAGTAAAAATACGTCTAAAAGTAGAGAAAATAAATAAGCTAAAGATCACAACGATATAACCCCTGAAAAGGGAGCCTGCCTCAGTCAGTTAGAGCATGAGACTCTTAATCTTGGGGTTGTGAGCTCAAGCCCCACATTGGGTGTAGAGTTTACTTAAAAGAAAAAAAAAATTCCTCTTGAAAAAACCATATATATATCTCCCCTAAAAGTTTCAGATTACTGCTGATCAATATTCACTTTATAATGCACAGCTCTCTTTACCAGAAACCTCCTCCAGCCATAACTACCCTGACACAAACAAATGCCAAGTTACAGAGTAGAGGAGCTTACTTTTGTCCCCAAATAAAAGATTTGACCACCATAGCTACTGATGGATTGATAACAAGCCTTCTCTCCAACCAAAGCCTATAAAAAAAAAAAAGTTAAAATTACATGCATTAGAAGTCTCATTAAGTTTTAAAGAATGTCAAGTACACAGACATTTTAGGTCAACATAGTTTTATCCCATAAATTAGTGGGGAAAAAATGTCAGTCAAGTGCCAGTCTGTCAGTGGAAATGGCAGAAAAGACAAAGTGCAAATAATTAATTCCCTGCTTACATATGGTCCTTTTATTTTTTCAGAATAACACAGACATGGGAAGAATATGCCAACTTACTAAATCTAAAGGGAAACTGTTGCAGTCTGCCCATTATTGGAAGACAGACATTCACTGCTTCGGGCAAAGACCAAGGCTTTTTGAAAATGGTAACCTCTAAGTTCTTTGAAATAAACATCAACCTAAAACACAAGGAGATACAGGAAGACAAAGCAGCATAATATATGGGAGTCAGCCTAGTCCAGCAAAAGAGAAACAAAACCTATAGTGTGATAAATTTGGACTGTGAATTTTGACTCTGTTACTTAAGGTATGACCCTACCCTAAACAAGCTTCAAACTTCTGACACTCAGTTTTCCCATCTTTGAAAAACCATGCAGTTTCCATGAAACTTAACTATGTTAATATTTACAAATGTCCCCAAATGTGTGAATGGTCAATAACCGATAACCATGAATTTTTAACTTTTCACTATGAAATTTAAAAATATATACAAAGGTAGGGAGAATAATACAATGAACACTCTGCATCCGTTAATCAGCCTCATTGATTACAAGATCATCACTGATCTTGTCTCACCTGTACTCCCACAGACTCTCCTACACACAGTATAATTTTGAGATGATTCTCAGATTTTGAATATTTCATTTATAACAATTCAGTATATGCATAATAAATTAGTCCTTTTTAACATAACCACAACTTCATTAGCATACTTTTTAAAATTAGTAATATGCAATAAGAATAAAATTCTCAATATGAAATATCCAGTATTTGGATTTCAAATGGTCTCATAATTTATGTCAAATGTTGTTGAGGTTTTTGTTGTTTTGTTTTTGCTTTTTCTACATTTCGTGTGTCTAAATCAAGATCCAACAAAGGGACACATATTGGAGCTGGCTGGTATGTCTCTTAATGCTCTTTAAAAGTTTACAGGTTTTGCCTCCACCTCACTCCTTTATTTTCCTTAAAATTTACTGCTGAGAAACCAGAATACTTATTCCATAGTTTCCTCCTATCTAGATTTTGCTAATTACATCCACACGGAATCTTTTCACATGTTCCTCTGTCTTCCATATTTTCTCTAGAAGATGCTTGATCAGAATCAGTGTCTTTTGCTTCGATTTTTGGGGGTTTTTTTTGGCAATACTACTTTACGATGTTAGCTATAAGATTTTTATAGATGCCCTTGTTTATATGGTTGAAAAAATTCCCCTTTATTCCTAGTTTGCTGAGTTTTCTCAGAAATGGATATTGAACTCTATCAAATGCTTGTCTTTTGGGATATTATGGTTTTTCTTTTATAATCAACTAATACAGTAAATTATACTGATTTTGAATGCCAAACCAGCCTTGCATGCCTTGGAAAAACACCATGTGATCATAATTTATTACTTTTTATACATTGCTGATTTCTATTTGCTAATATTTTAAGTATTTTTACTTCTATACTTATGAGAACATTAGTCTATAGTGTTCTTTATTGTAGTATCTTTGATTTTATTATCAGTCTTATAAAAGTTAGGTGCTCCCTTTTGCTCCCTTTTTTAAAAAGACTTTTGTGTACAATTGGCTTTTTCCCCCCCTTAAATATAACAGACCTCACTAGCGAAGCTATCTGGGCCTGGAGCTTCTCTACAGAAAATCAATCAATTTCTTTAACTGATGCAACAGTCACTTAGATTTTCTATTACTTGTTGAGTCAGCTTTGGTAATTGGTGCATTCCAAGAAATTTTTCCATTTTATCAAAAGTTGTTGAATTTATTGGCATCGAGTTATGCACGTATCTTTTTAATATCTATAGACTCTCCAGTGAGGACACCTCTCCCGTTACTGACACTGGTAATTGTGTCTTCTCTTTTTCTTGATTAATCTCATTAGAGGTTTACCAATTTTCTCTTTTAAAGAACCGGTTTTTGATTTCTTTGATTTTCTCTGTCCATTTTCTATTTAATTGATTTGTGTTCACCTTTTTATTTTTCCTTCAATCTAATTTAAGTTAATTTTGCTCTTTTTCCTTTTCCTTAATTAAGACAGAAGCTAAGGGCATTGATTGGAGATCTTTCTTCTTTTCTAAAGTATTTAATGCTGTAAGTTACCCTTAAAAAACTGATTTAATTGTAGACCACAGATTTTGATAAGTTATATATTCATTTTCATTCAGTTTAAAATATAGTCCAATTTCCTTTGAGCTTTCCTCTTTGACTCATGACTCAGCTGTTTAATTTCCAAATATTTGGTTTTTTTCCAGATTCACCCTGATGATTCCTTCAACAACTTATGGAAGTTTGTTTTACGGCCTAGCATATATCCTATATTGGTGCATGTTCCACATGCTCTTACAAAGTTATTAATCTGCTTTTGTTCAGAGGAATATTCTATAAATGTCACTTAGGTCAGTTGGTCAATAGTGTTTAAGTCTTCTATACCCTTAATGATTTTCTGTCTACTAATTCTAATAATGACTGAGAGGGATTTTGTGTAATTGTGAATTTGTTGGTTTCTCCTTTCAGTTCTGTCAGTGTTTGCTTCATGTATATTGCAGGTCTGATACTGGGTACTTAAATCTTTAAGGTTCTTATGTCTTCTTGTAACACCTTTTTATCAATTTGAAATTTCTCTTTATTTTTGACAATATTTCCTACTCTGAAAGCTAGTGATTATGATTAGAGTTTGCATGGTATGTCTTTTTCCATCACCTTACTTTTAATGTACCTGTGTGTTTATACTTAATATGTTTTATAGACAGCACAGAGTTAGTTCTTGCTTTTCTTTATCCAGTCTGACAATCTCTGCCTTTTAATTGAAATGTTTAGACTATTTCCACTTCCTATAATTATTGATATGGTTGGGTTTAGATTATCTTATTAACTGTTTTTTCTACTTGCCTGTTCCCTTTTCTTCATTGAATTTTTTTTTAACATCCTATTTTGTCACTATTATCTTACTTAGTTATACCACTTCTTCTTCATTGACTGCTCTAGTGTTTACAATATATAACTTTAACTTATCTCCTTCTACATTTAAATATTATACAATTTGATGTATAATGTAAATCCTTACAATGATATACTTCTATGCCCCACTCCCTGCTGCTATATACTATTTCTGTCATACACACTACTTCTACATTATCATAAACATTACAATATTATTTTTGTTTTAAATAGTCAATTGCTCTTATTAAATAACAGTACTGAAGTATAATTTATATACCACAAAATTCACTCATTAAATGTATAATTGAGTAACTTTTAATAAATTTACAGTTGCCCAACCACCACCAAGATCCAGTTTTAGAACATTTCCATCACTACGCAAAGATCCCTTGTACGCATTTCCAGTCAACCTTCATTCCTACTCCCAGTCTCAAGCAACCACTAATCTACATCTATCTCCATAAACTTGTCTTTCCTGGACAGCTCATAGAATCAAACAATCCTTCCATATGGTTTCTTTTACCTAACATAGTATTTTTGAAAAGGTTCGTCCATGTTGTAGCATGTGTCAGTAGTACATCCTCTTCATCGCAGAATAGTATTCTATTACATGGCTAAGTCACTTTTTGTTTATCCATTTACCAAGTGGTGGACATGTGGATTGTTTCCAATGTTCAGCTATTATGAATAATGTCACTATGAACATTTGTGAAAAAGTGTTTGTGTGGGCATATGTTTTCACTTCTCTTGGGTATACACCTAGGAGTAGAACCGCTCAAATAAATCCTTATGAATATGTTTAACATTTGGAGGAACCACCAGAATTTTTCCACAGCAGCTGTACCATTTCACACCAGCAGCATGTAACAGTCCCAGTTTTTCCACATCTTCACTAATACCTGTGAATGTCTGCCTGCCTGGTGGGTATGAAGTGATATCTCACTGCAGTTTTGAGTTGCATTTCGCTAATGATGAACAACGTTGAACATCTTGGCTATGCTTGTTGGCCATGTGTCTATCTTTGGAGATTACTCCAGTTGTTTTTGATGAGAAATCTGCTCTCATACTTATTGCTGCTCCTGTGCATTTAATGTATCTTTTCTCTGTGGCTGCTTTAATAATTTTTCTCTTTACCACTCATTTTGGTCAATCTATATATGGTTTCCTTTATTTTACCTGTGCTTGGGTTCAATGAGCTTCTTGAAAATTTGTGTTTATAGTTTTGGAAAGTTTTTGACCACTATTTCTTCCATTTCTTTTTGTCTCCTTTTCTTCAGAGATTCCAACTGCTCATTAGGCTACTCAGTGCTGTCTCACAGGTCACAAATATTTTTTAAAATTATTTTTTCTGTGTTTCATTTTGGATCGATTCTATTGCTATATCTTCAAGTTAACTAATGTTTTCTCCTATCATGTCTACTCTCTGACATTAATCCCATTCAGGGCATTTTTCATCTCAAGCACTAATAATTTTTATCTCTAGAAGTTAGATTTGCATCTTCTTTAGAATCTTCCATGTCACTACTTAACTTTTTAGATCTACAGACTATAGTTGTAATAACTGTTATGTCCTTATCTGCTAATTCTAACACCTGTTTCAGGTCTAAGTCAGTTTTGATTAATCTTTCTTCTCACTATAAATGGTGTTTTTCTTCTTCTTTACATGCCTAGTAATCTGATTGAATATCAAGACACTGTGAATTTTACCTTGTTGGGTTCTAGACATTTCTGTAGTATTAATATTCCTGTGCTTTGTTTTGTGAGGTAGTTAAGTTGCCTGGAAAACAGTCTGATTCTTTCTGGTCCTATTTTTAAGATTTGTAGTGGGGACCAAAACAGTGTTTACTCTGGTCCTAATTACTCGCCACTACAGAGGCAAGATGCCCCTGAGTATTCTACCCAATGCCCTATAAATCATGAAGTTTTCCAATCTGGCTGGTATAAACAAGCCAGTGTGAGCACTGGATAGAGTTCCTTCTAAACCCATCCAATAATTCTTTCCCTGACCTTGGGAAGGATAAGCATTTGCTGGTCAGTAGTCTGCTGAATACCCAAGGGGAACCACAGGTATAGTGCTTGCTCTCCTCTCCAGTACCTGGTCCTGCAAACTCAACCCACCTTAGTCTTCCAACAGTCTCAGCTTATGGAGTCCTTCAGGCTCCAACTGGATTCCTCATCCCTGAGCTATAGCCTGGAAACTCTCTCTAGGCTAGAATCTAGGATAATCACAGGGCTCATGTCACTTGTTTCCCATTTTGTCAGGGATTGCTGTCCTTCATTGCCTGATGTCCAGTATTTGAAAAGTTTTTTTTTTCCTTCTACACAGGAAAGTAAATCTAGTGCCCATTATTCCATCTTGGTCAAAATTGCAAGTTCAAAGTCTAACACCATTTCTAATAACCATTCAGACACAAGAAAATACTTAAGTGTGGGACAGTAATTAGTCTTTAGTGAATTCTACCGCATTACCATTTCTTACTCTGGATTGTCTTGGTTTCTAAATTCTGTGGCTGAAGACCCTTTCATATATTTTTTAAACTCTGAAGTTCTAATACCTCAGGGAAATTTGAGCAATGGCTGCATATCACACAGGTCTCATTAAATATGAACATCATTACTAATCTTTTTTCAAGAAATTACCCAGGAAAGCCTCTAAATTTCCTGCTTACAGATTGCTGGTTTAGGAAATCACAACTGTAAACTATCTGTGTAAATTGCTAAAGGCCATCATTGTGGTTGCTTAATATACAGTAAAATTAATACCAAGGTAATACTTGTGTGTCTTCCTTTTCTCCAGACTCCTACATTTCATCCATCCCCTATTCCTAAAGACTCTCCTTTCTTTCTCTCAAAGCCATCTTGATCTTTTAATGCCCACAGCCACCACACCTGCTCGAGCCTTTACAATCACCCAAGTCAGGCTACCTATCTCTAGTCATTCATCCCTTAAATCTATCAGGCTTATTACCACCATTTTAAACTTTCTAAAATATTCTGCTTTTACAATTTCTTTCTCACAAATTTTCAATTTCATTATTTTAGTATAAAAGTTAAAATTCTTTGGCATTAAATTAGTCACATTTCTGAATAGAAGGTAACAGGAATTACTGTTTTAGTTCACATTCCTGAATACTTACAAACACACCCATATCCACTTCAATCTAGACATAAAGATAACTAACTTCACACAGTTCCAATTTCTAAAACAAAAAACAAGAAAATACCAAGTTTATCAAAGCAATTCTAAGATAATGGATTACCCTTACCAGTGCCTGGCTAACATTTCCTCCAGTGGCTAGGGATTTGAAATGACTGCTGTTGTAGACCAGCTGAACTTCTGAGATCTCCACTGTTTCCAATTCCTCTTGAGTCTGCCGATCAATCACATGCAACTTCTCCACACTGTCCAAGAGCACAACTGTGCGTGAGTTTATCCACTGCAAATCAAGCACACCGCAAAAAAAAGGTGAGGCCCATCCCACACAATCATTCAGGACAAAAAGAAAGCCTGGACACTCAGTTAAATTATATTGACGATTTTACCCATTTAGTAACTTGATGACAACAAAATCACACCAAGAATTACTAGGTGACTGTAGTGGCTAGACAGCAGTGGATAATAGTGCATAACACAGTTCTGAGTTCTGACAGTGTTGAAATGATTCACAGTATTTAAAAAAAGGTAACTAAGAAGGGTACCTGGGTGGTTCAGTTGGTTAAGCATCCAACTCTTGATTTCGGCTTAGGTCATGATTGTGAAATCAAGCCCCGTGAGCTCCGCAGGGACATGGAGCCTGTTTAAGATTCTCTCTCTCCCTCTCCCTCTGTCCCTCCCTCTCTAAAAATAAATAAATAGGGGCGCCTGGATGGCTCAGTCAGTTAAGCGTCTGCCTTCGGCTCAGATCATGATCCCATGGTCCCGGGATCGAGTTCCACAACGGGCTCCCTGCTCAGCGGGGAGTGTGCTTCTCCCTCTCACTCTGCCTGCCACTCTTCCTACTTGTGTGCACTCTGTCAAATAAAAGAATCTAAAATAAATAAATAAATAAAATCAAAAAGGTAACAGAGTTTCAACAGATGTATTACAGTATATATTAGTTTTAGTAAAATTCTTTAAATGGTACACTGGCACAAATGACTTAAGCAAAATGACAAACTATGCATTTCTCATGTTTTTCACATTAGTTAAATAAAAGGGCAAATAAACCTCATAAACCTAGGTGGTCAAATAATTGTTAGCATTTACATAATACATACTTTAAAACAGAAGCATTCTAAAATATATATTTCCTTTAAAACTTCCCTACCAATTATGGGAGAGTTCCTTGCTTTTCTATTTCTCTATATTCCGAATTTTCTTTAATACGTACTATTATAATTTCAGAGATAATAACTTAGTAATATTAAAAATCTGAAGGATGCCATTTTGATAAATTTCTTGGGTTTTATGTATGATTTCTTTTCTTCTTAAAGATTTATTTATTTGAGAGCAAGAGAGTATGTGCATGTGAGTAGGGGGAGGGGCAGAGGGAGAGAATCTTCAAGCAGACTCCCGGCTGAGCGTGGAGCCTGACATAGGGCTTGATCTCATGACCCATGAGATCATGACCTAAGCTGAAACCAAGCAGTGATACCCAACTGACCTAGCCACCCAGGCACCCCTACAATTTCTTCTTTTCAAAACAATTTTTTAAAAAATTTCAATCCCTCCCCAGGAAATAAATGGAGTTTTAAAATCTGCTCAATTAGAATTCTAAGTTAGCCAGAATAAAGTACTTTCTCTCTCTGGTATTCACGTTGTTTTATTTATACGACCTATTCCATGTCATCAGAGATTATGTGCATACTCCCATATCAAAAACAACCAAGTTAAAATGATTACTTTTAACATAAGTGAAAATACACCCTTATCACTGTATTGTGGCTACTATAAGGGAAGGGTTTTGTTCTGTTTTTCCCCAAAAAATTTATCTCTCAGAAAACAGGGAGTTTGATGTTCAAATCATTTACAAAGAGCTCTCATAAGGTGCTCTCTCGATTATTTAAAAAAAAACAAAGTATCATTTAGGAAAGACACATTATCAGCCTTATACAACCTTAGTCAGTACTAGTTTTTAGATGCTACCAAAGGTCACCTGGTTTAAAGAGAATGACAAAGAGGGTCAGCAGGTTTAGCAATTACTCCTAAGATTAGACCCTCATAACTGCAACTGCTGACATTGTTGTAAACGAGACTTTTAATGGTAATTTATAAAGCAATGCAGTTACTGTCACATCATGGATAGGCCACAGGACAAATGAAAACACCTACTACCCTACTGTGGGGAGAATGGCTACTTGTGGTTGAGAGAAAATTTTCCAGGGACAGAATCATATGCAGATTTTAAGAGTGCCATATCTCAAACATCTTAAACAGAAGTAATTATGAATTCTAGGAAACAGTGTTAGATAATCCAACAGGAGTCCTGCTGATGACAAAGACACTGATGTCTTACATTCATGAGAAGAGTTTGAACAAAAATATTTCATGAAATGTGTATGGAAACAAAGTATCATTTCTAAATCGTCTATCTGTGAGATTAAAAGGCAATGTACAACTAAATAAATTGTATATTATAAAGAAAAGATCCATTTTATCTATATCCTTAAAAGTTACATATCATCAAGTTAGAGGAAAAATTTTTTTAGCCATTTTACTTGAAAAATGAGGCTCTGTCTCTTATTTAGGGGTGCCTATATTCTTGCATATACAAAATGTTTCACTGGATATTGATATGCCAAAAGCATTAATGACAGAAACCCAGAAATATTATAATTACAGTATTTGCAAAGCTGACACACTATTTGAAAAAAAAATTTTGATATAAAAAGAAATACTTTTTTTAAACCCAAAAGTTGCTTAAAACAGAGATGTATGGTGGAGGAAAAAGTTCTCCAAAGTTTTTAGCCATGAAAAAAAAGAATAAATTAGATAAACTTCTGAACCAGTTAGGACAAGCTCAGAAGTACAAAAATGTGTTTACAAAGAAAGCTGGGCAACGATCCTCAAGAAACCCACCCAAATTCTTCTGAATTAATTCCCCTCTGAACTAATCAGGACATCAAAGAAAACTTTTTCTGACCCTGCCACTGTGTGGCAGGCAGGCCATGGGCTGAGAGGCAATTAAAAGGAAGGTGGCATCAGGGCAGCTGGATGGCTCAGTGGGTTAAACGTCTTGATTTCAGCTCAGATCATGATCTCAGATCAGGTCAGAGTGAGACTGACCCTGTGTCGGGCTCCGCGCTGGGCATGGAGCCTGGGTAAGATTCTCTCTCCCTCAGCCTCTCCCTCTCCTCTCTCTTGTTCTCCCCACTCCCCGCCCCAGAAAAGTAATGTGGCATTACACCAAACTCAGACTCCATTACTTCTGTCCATATTTTACATAATCCCCGATGTCAGGGTTCATGGCAGAAATCCTAGCGGTGCTAATACACGGGGTCTCAGAACAATTACCTGAGATAAATGGGCCACATTAACCTGAGTACTCACAGTAAAGTTGATGAGGTCATAGTAGAGGTGAAGGCGCTTTTGCTTAGTAACATGTATTGCTCCAGACTCATCTCTCTTAACCTGATGGTGAAATAAAAACAACCTAAATACCAGCTATGTTTTGAGGGGCTTTTGTAGCTACTTAATTATACTCCACCTAGAAAATGAGTTCCATTCACAGTATGGACAAGCCCAAATCGCTGGCGATTAAAGAAACTATTACACAAATGAAAAAAATCATTCACACCATGATTCGTACAAAATATGAGGCACATCTGCTCAGTGGTCTGGCTGTCGGTCCTGTAATGTGTTCACTCTGCTATAATTCAGAACAAATTAACTGCATCCCATCAGCGACTGTACTCAGCTACAGTTAAAACATAAAATGGGACTAACCACATGGTATGATAAAGTCAAAAAGTCCATTAAAAAAAAAAGCTGCAGTGACAAAACTAGACTTTTCTGAAGTATACTGTCACAGCTCAAACAGCCCAAAATGTCCCAGGAGAACCTCAAGTGTCAATATTTATTTACATATGTGTACCTGCACCCTTATAATTTGCTCTCCCTGCTTCCGCTCCAAGGTGACAGAGCATGCAGAAGAGAGCCCGATGTACATCTGACCCTTGTGAAATGCAGGACATCCTAGTCAACCTGGGCTGCCTGACACTCTCCCAGAGTAGCCTCCTAGGTGGCTTCCTTTCCCTTCAAGTCCCAATCCCTTTGTTTTCTAATCCCATCACTTACAGTGTTGGCCTCACCAGATACCTGAACAAACAACGAAGCCCTCCTAATGCAGGCCCTTCACATACACTCATCTCTGCTTCACTAAGTCACTTACCCTGGAAGAAACAATGTGCTAGTAGAAGGAGCATGTGATCTAGACGCCTGTGCTTCGGTTCCACTATTACAGCCATGTGACCCAGGGCCAATCAGTTGAAAAATGAAAATAAACACCAAATTGTTCCCTATCTGGCATATACTGAAAGTGTTTTACGAACAAAAAAACAACGCCAACATCACCTATTGTGATTCACTGGAGTCCTTGCTAAAGAAGATCACTTCACTTATACATAGTCTAAATCCCACCCCCTCCACCCTGCTTACTATTACCTCTCCCTTGCTGGCATATTCACTCACTCTTTTTTTTTTTTTTTTAAAGATTTTATTTATTTATTTGACAGAGAGAGAGCTAGCGAGAGCAGGAACACAGGCAGGGGGAGTGGGAGAGGGAGAAGCAGGCTTCCTGCCAAGCAGGGAGCCCGATGTGGGGCTCGATCCCAGGACCCTGGGATCATGACCTGAGCCGAAGGCAGGAGTTTAACGACTGAGCCACCCAGGTGCCCTCACTCACTCCTTTTTAAGGGCACTTTTCCTTTTGCTATCTAACATGTTTCTGACTTCTCCATCTTCAAATAAAAAACAAAAACAAAACCCTTTCCCTGATTTGCTTTTTACAGATATTTAACCATTCTCTTTCCTCTTGCAGCCAAACACTATGAATGTTAAGTTTGCTCTTCTCGATGCCCATTTCTTTAATAAGGCTCTACCATGTAGCTTCCATCTCCATTCCACTGACGACTAGTCCTCTGAAAAGTTTCTAATCAACAACTGCTTGTGGGGGCGCCTTGGTGGCTGAGTCCGTTAAGCATCTGCCTTCGGCTTCAGGTCATGATCCTGTGGTCCTGGGATGGAGTCCCGCATCGGGCTCCCTGCTCAGTGGGGAGCCTGCTTCTCCCTCTGCCCCCCCCCCACTAGTCTTCTCTCTCTCTCTCTCTCTCAGTCCCTCAAAGAAATAAATCTTAAAACAAAGCAAAACAAAACCAACTACTTGCATATTCAACGGTCTTATCCTCAGTGGTCTTCTCTCTTGATCTTTATTTAATAATGGTATTACCCTGGAGCTGACATTGTCCTGAAGCCTCTCCTTTGTCTGCTGTGTGAGGCCATAGTGTCCTACTTCCCCTCCTACCCCTGTGTGCCTTTACTGGAACATTCTTTCTTGATTCCTTTTCTTTTCCCTTTCCCTTATAAGTACCTGCCAAGGCTACGTATGCTCTGGCTTTTGATTTTCACAGCTTCAACGACATTCTCTATCCTGAAATTCTCATTTGCACTCCAGACCTAGACTGCCGTCTGCCCAGAGGACATTCCCTGAGAGAACACTTAAGAATCCCACCTTCGCTTCTAACTTAACACATTCAAATGCTCTGTAACCCCAGCTCTTCAAATAATTCATGCTTCTAAAATGCAGTCAGAAACACAAAGATTCATTTATGTCCTTTAGTTCTGAAGTCCAGTAAAATGAGAAGCCTCGTCTTTCCTTCAAAATGTCATCCTTCACTCTCACTGCAACCAAGCATCCTTGTCTAAAGACCTCATAACCTGCTTTGGCACAAGAGCAAAACCCTCCATTTCCCTGCTATCACCTATAATCTATTTTTTCTGCTACTTCTATACTGATCTTCCTAAAATACCACTTTAATCACATCTTTACCTCTTTAATTAGCTAAGAACCTGTAACAACTCCTCATTACCTAGTCTAGGCCAATTATATTATAAAATCTGGATCAGGGGTCAGTAAACTTTTTTTGTAAAAGGACATACAATAAATAAATAAATATTCGACATTCTGTGGACCATACAGTCTCTGTCACAACTATTCAATTCTGCCACTATAGCATGGAAGCAGGCATAAATCATACATAATCAAATGGGCATGACTGCATTCCAAGAAAACTTTATTTATAAAACAAGTTATAAAATTTTATTTATAAAACAGCCATGGTGTGCCACCCCTTATCTAAATCTACACCATATATTCAACTTGATTTTCCACAGGTTTCTCACTCTCATTAATTCTATGAACATTTATTAAGCATCTACTATATACAGGCACAGTCCTCGTGGCTGGAATCTTTAGATTTATGGAGTTTTCACTTAACGAGAAAGAAAAATATGAGACAAGTGATTTTAAAAGTACTGAAAATTATCAAAGGAGAAGATGGAAGGTCTTGTGGGTATTATGTAGCAGAAAACAGTTCAGGAAGTCAGGAAGGCAATGTTAATCATGAGTTAGGTAGACTAAAGTGGAAGAGGGCACAGACCTTCCCCAGCAGAGGTGAGAGCATATGCAAAGACACTGAGGCCAGAGTCTAGTTAGACAGCTATGCCAGAGCCAACATAGAAGAAATGTCAGTGGTTTAGGCTAGGGAAGCAGTCAGTAATGGGGGAGACAAAAAGGGAGTAAATTCAGATGACAGAGACAGAGTCAACAGGATGCGGTGAAGAAGCAGAAATGAGGGAGAAAGGTAACTGAAAGACAACCCCTAGGTTTCTAGCTGGAGAAACTAGGTGGACAGTGGTGTCCCTGTTTCACTGAGCTAGGAAACCCAAAAAGAGATTATGTGGGCACATTCTTACCTCTATAACTTCAGTTCATCTCATTTCCCCCAATATGCATACCCACCATTCCTGCAGTAGTTGCTATATATCCTCCATAGAGTTTTCCATGGCCTATCCAGTCCATACCAATCTCTCCATACTCTGAACTTTTATCAACTTTTAGTTCTCATCACATAGTTGAATCCCTAAACATAGTAGTAGTAATCCCTAAACATCCCTAGTAATAATGAGCATACTGGCTTTGTTTCTAAAACAGTATTTGAAGTTGTGTAAAAGAAGAAATTATGTTTAATACTTCCTTTAACTGCTTCTGTGTCCATCAGTGTAGAGAACACAGTATGTGCTCAATGATACCTGTTGTCTAATAAATACACTATATGTAGATAGGTAAGCCATCAATAGACATATATGCATTCGTTTATTTATACACACACATAAACTATTAATTATTTGTTACTCAAAGGAGATGAACTGAGAAATACACCATGGAGGGGCATGGAGTTGAGGTGATCAATTGCTTTCCATGTTAATCATTAAAGCCTAAAATTAAAATTAAATGATCGCTCTCTCTCCAAAGAATTATAGTAGCATATTTCTTTGACATAATAGTAAATCACTAGTGAATCAGGAAAAAAATATTATGATAAGGGACTTTATAACAGATCTAGCATCGTATCAGGACTTACCAACAGAAAATGAACAACATCTCCTCTGCAGAAGGCAAGCATGGGATTCACATAATTATGCACTGCCACAAAGTGCCAGGCCAGCAATGGAACACTGGAAGGATCCATCTAAGTGAAGAAAAGGCCAAAAAAGAAAAAAAAAAAAAAGACATCACAGTTAACAGACAGCAGGACAAAGAGAAAACTAATTAAAAAGAGCATCTGACTAGTGTTCCTTGATAAAACTTCTCCCAATTTCTCAGTAAAATTCCAGTGAAGCAGGGGCTGACCGGGAAGTGTCATGAGGGAACTTTCTGGGTTAATGCTAATGTTCTATATCTTGATAGAGGTTTGGGTTATAAAAATAGATATATTTGTTAAAGTTCAGCAAATGTATGATCAAGATCTGTGCAACTCACTGTAAGTAAATGCTACACCAGAGAAACAAATACTGAACTCTAAACATAATGTATGCTGAATATTAAGGCAAATGAGTACTGACTTTTGCAATTTATTGGAAATACACTTAAAATAACATAATTTGATGGGTGGATGGAGAGAGATAGTTAATAAAGTAAACTGTTAATGATAGAATTTAGATAGTAGGTATACAGATGTTCAATGTAAAATTCTTTCTACTTCTCTATTTGAAAATGTTAATATTGGAAAAAAATACCAGTAAAAACATACAAAAAAATGCAAACATACACCACCATGATAAACCTCAGGTAGCCAGTGAAGCTAACCTAAGGAACATTAATGCAATCTAAGCTAGCCATGCCATTTGAAAGGGCAGATGTGCTTCCCCTGAGGCCCATAGATAATGGAGTACCAACCAACAAACAGAAGAGTGGTCTCCCTTGACACAGGGGATGTGTTCTCAACTAGTCATGGCTCTGTACCATCATTCTCCATCTCATCCCATCAATACCTCTCCTCACATATACACTAGAAGATCACAACTTTCTGAAAACAACGAAGCCAGAAAGGAGAGGGAAACTGGGGGATGCGTCATAGATGCTGGGAAGTATCATCCTCCAAAGTAAAATACTAAAGGCAAAAGCCAAAAGAAAGACTACGTAGCAGCAATTTATGCTAGATTTTATGGTGGGGTGTTCTCTATCAGTAGTTCAGTATCAGAGCAGCAGTTGTTTATGAGAGAACAACTTAAAACAATAAAGGTAAAAAAGTATAGACCTCGTGATCTGTACTGCTCCAGTCACCAGCTTATCCTGCTTTGGGTCACATCAAGGTAAGTCCAGACAATGATCTCTGGAGCACTGACTTCCATTCTATCCCGTTTTCTGATAATCCCACAGAATTCGCCACTTTCAAGTCATTTCCCCCTCCTGACATGGTCTTTTTGCCAATAAGATGGAAAGGCTTACTCACCCGTCCATAGGGAAAAGTCATCCACACTTTCAAGGACGGTTTCAATCCAATGACCAGTATCTTTAGAAGAAAAATGTATTTTTAATGTTTACCCTATAATTTTCAAATTTTTGGTATTCAAAGCCTCTAAAAGTTATGAGTTTCACCTTCTAAATATACCAACCAACCTTTGTTAAGGATGCCATGGCCAATAAGGAAAACTGTGTGATGGGATGATCTTTCAACTCGGGCTTCGAATGGAGAGGCTCAATACAGCAAACCTCACCCTTGGAGCCACTGAACAGGCATCTTGACTCACATGTTCTCACTCCCATCACTCTCCTGCAAAGGTAACCAAAAAATTCAGAATTGATTTAGTAATGATTCAAGGCGCTATGATCTCTAGCATGGACTACAATAGCCTTCTAACTCCTATTCTTGCCTCCAACAATCCAACTCCATAGGACATCAGCAGGTTCTTTGTAATGTCTAGGTCAGACTTATCACTCTTCTCCTAAAAACACTCCAATGGCTTGCCACTGTACATAAAATAAAACCCAAAGTCTTTACCACGTTTTCAAAGGTCCTATATGATCTGGCTCCTGCCTTCACTCTTTCCCATTACTAACAAAGTCACGCTCCAGCCACAACTGCCTTCTTTCTGTTGCTCCAGCAAGCCAAATTTGTGCCCACTTCAAAACCTTTGTGCTTGAACATCCCTCTGCCTAGAACACTTCTAGATCTTTGCATTTGTTGATCAGATTATCACTCAGGTCTTTGCTCAAATGTTACCTTCCTGAATTATCCTCAAGTACACTCCAGCAAGTTGAATGGTCTTATTTTCTTCAAAGCACTCATAACTATCTGAAGTTATTTCATTTATGTATTCATTTATTATCATGTCCCTACCCCCGCCTCAACTAAAATGTAAGTTCTATTAGAGTAGCAACCTTGTCTGGTTCACAGCTGCAAGTCTGGTGCCTAGAACAATGCCTACACATAGGAGATGCTCACTAAACATTAGCAGAATAAATAGTACTTTGTAAGCAATTACTTTGGGCTCAGCAATGTGAGAAAGTATGAGAAATATAAGAAACATAGTCCTTACTTTGAGAACTTATGGAAACACAATGTGCATTGAATTTTATGTTCTATTTGTTAAAAAAAAAAAAAACTCTGCTTCATAAATTTCCTCCCATGTATCTAGACAGTCTTCGCTCTTATAGAGAAATAGGGCAATTCCAAGGCAATAAAAACCTTCCTATACATAATCAACTGGGCCTGGGGCCTAAACCAAAATTAGTGACATACTCCAGAATTATGGTTCCCAAGATTGACATCTCATATGAATTCCCTGGGGAGCAGGAGTTCAGAATCCCAACTCAGACCTACTGAGAAAGAATTCTGGGTGGCCAGGCCTGGATCTCCAAATGTTCTATAAGCCTCTCCAAGTCATAATATACAGCCATAACCTATTTGTAATCACATGGGTTTTCCAGACCTCTTCACGTTCAACATCAAGTCATTAAATCACAGCTAGTCTTTTCATTTCATTTGTCAACAAATGTCCTTTAGTCTCTTACTTAAATGTCAATTCAAAAACAGAGCCTCCGCTGTCATTGCAAATTGCAAGAGTTGGATCATCTGTAAACTAAACAGAGAAGAAATTCACTTTCTTAGAGATTTTTCAACAACCAGTCAAGTATTAAAAAGGGAAAAAATTATAACATCTTAAAAATCTAAAAACAACACATTTAGTAGCATTTGAAATCACCTCGATTTAGTTCATCATTCTAAATATACAAACTTACCAATATTCAGAATAAAAATGGCTATCTTTAAAAAACTGAGGCTTTAAAAAAGCAAACCTACCTTTCATCAGGATCAAAGAAAAATACAAACTATGACTCATAAAAGCCCTAAAGTTCTCCACTTGGGTTCTTAACATTAACTTTTTCTAAGCTGCTATTAAACTGAATAGGGGATGCTAGATATATTTGCAGTTGCCTTGTTTTCAAGAACAAAGACATAGTAAAAGATATTTGCTATCTTTGGGAAATAAACTTTAATATGTTTTCTAACTGAAGAATTAATCCACTATACTTAAAATAGTTTAAATACTTTTTATGGAACGATTCCAAATATGTGCTGCCTCCTGATCTTATTTGACAGATTATACTTCAGTTATTATTACCAACTCTGGAAAACTCAAAATAACAACTAATGTTCACAATGACAGTCCTAAGGGTTTATGAGGTATGGTAAATGTGAACACCGTAGGATACAAACTGAATAACCTGAGTCACTTAGAGTGACCGGTCTCCCTAACCCCAAAGGCTGGTGAGCCAACCTAAATGTCATGTCTTTGTTCTCTTAGGGACAGTTGAGGTACAGGAGACTACTGTAAAATTATTCTTCCCACACACAGGCATAACAAAGAAGACCCACACCTTTGCTCTCAAGGCCTCATGGAGCAATTGCCAGAGTGGGAAGTATATACCTGGAATGTAGGAAAATCAACTGAACTTGCATGTTTATTTATTAATTTTCTATTTATCTATGTGTTTTGTAATGTCCTTAAATATTAGTACAGTACTACATTTGTAATATTTTTTAAATAAATACACACACACACACACACACACACATATGCATTAAGGATGTAAGCCCAAGTTGTTATTGCTGGGATATAGGGTTAAGTTTGGAGAACAATGAATAAGAGCAAGTGGCTGTTGTCAAGCCAAGACTCTGGAAGTACTCAATCATATATGTATCACTTGCTACCTCTTATTCCAATATTACAGTGTCTGCATGCAAGGCCTTTATCACCGATCCCAAGCAACACAATGGCTACTATTTCTATGCTATCAACCTCAGCTGCATTCTTCTCTTTCCTCTCTGCCTTTACCTCTTCTGTTTCCTGTTTCTTTCAAGGATTTTGCTTTTTTCAGTAAGTGAACTGTCCTTTTACAAACACCACCAATTAGTTATCCCTTCAACCAAACGTTTATTGAGCAGCTACCATGCATAATCCAAAAATAAATGAGAAACAGATTCAGGTTTCAAAAATCTTCATCTATTAAGGGAGAGAAGACATAAACACAAACTATAACATGCCATAGAAAAAGAGGTCAAGAAAAACTGCCATGATGTTCAGAAAAAGGGGACATTCTACTCTTGTCTTGGTTGCTTTCACTGTTACTAAAGGCTTCAATGCTGCTTTGTCACAAAAGACTTTTATGTAACTAACCTAGATGCAGACACATAAACTCCAGATGCTTACAGACTTTAAAAAGCATATGTATGGATAAGAGAGGTCTGCACAGCTAAGCAACCAAATGTGTACATGATTAAAATCTAGAAGATCTGATTTTAGACTTCCCTAGTTACAGTCCTTTACCTTTTATGCTCCTGAACATGGGCCTGACAACATACACAAACCAAAGTTCACATTGTATTTATAAATGAAATCTGTTACCTAAGTTGACTTATTTTTTTCAGACCTGTAAGGACAAAGCCAAGACTCAAATCTTAATGCTTTTCCCTTAGAGGCCTGAAAGAAAATAAACCAAGAGAGCTGTTTCTGAACATAAAGCAAACCTTGGTTCTTTCATAGCTGGCGCCCCGAACCTCAGGTAACTCCCAACGAAGTGTGACAGAGCAACGCTGGGGGACTGAACAAAAGGTAAAAAGAACTTTTTAATCTCCATATGATTTTTCAGCAGGGTATTGCTGCCAACCTCTGGTCTGGGAACATATTGGTTTATTCTCTCTGCTGCTCTATCAGACGTCAACCCAACGTGCAGCTGAATGTTACCAAGGTAGCTAGCCCATCTCCAGTTCTAACCTGCAAAGCATCCTACTGGGCTCGTCAAAGAAAACTTCATTTTCAAGGATTCCGTTTATAAAGAAATGTGCTTAAAAATGCATATACAAATATAATAAAAATTATTAAACAAAAAACAGGTATTACCTTAATATGCAATATTGCTGTTCCTGGAGGATGAGCATCTGTTATTGATCTCAGAAGTTTTCCACTGGCCAGATCCCACATCGTGATCTGTAAGACAACTAAATGCTTCAAAAACCAATCTATTGCTCTTTTTTGGACTTAAGTATCCAGCCTTGTGGCTAAAATAATCCATCCCTGGTCTATAAACATGGCAGGCAAAAAATTATGAAGTTGAAACATAATCGAAGGTTGCAGATCTATTAAAGCATAGGGCCTTTTATTCCATCTTCATCTCCCTTCATCCTGCCCTACCTACTTTTCCCTTCAGATTTTAAACATTGTTCTTACACCAAGAAGTACAAAATTTCTTCAATGAGTCAATCTCTTTAGCACTGGTAAAAATTATAAGAAAGGCTCACTGCCAAACCAACTAGTGATGTATAAGTCACATGAGAAAAGCCAAAACTTATTGCCAGTTTCAGAAGTAGAAAGCAATTCTTAGAGTTATCCAGGAACACAGTAATGAGAATAGTGAAAACAGAATATAGTGTATTTAAAAAGCAGCAAGAATTACCTATGCTACTATAAGGAAGTAAATTTTGATATAACAGCCTGGTCGGTTTGTAAAAGCTATTTACTTATATAGACTCATAAATTAAGATATTAAAAAACACAGACTCTGGCTCAGTTGATGACAATTATTAAAAACTGAACGAAAGTTAGACCAAGCAATCTAAGGTTAGCTCTACAGACATGTCACTTTATAAATTTTGGTCTTTGAGATATTGATCTAGAAATACTAGTTTGTTTAATTAATCAAACTGGGTAAATTTAATGCAAGTTTATTTTCACATCCAGGTACTCCTGCCAACATGAGTTCATGTACAGAACTCAATGCAGTGAATTCCCAAATATCAACAAATGGACTGTGATAGCTATGTTTGCATTTTGCCTAAACAATTGCTTTGTACATACTTAGTGCCCTCATCTCTCCTACCCATGCTTTTCTCCTAGCTCCAGTGTTATCACACTTCATTTTTTTCCTCCAAATTTTTATTTAAATTCTAGTTAGTTAACATATAGCGTAATATTGGTTTCAGTAGTATTTAGTGATTCATCACTTACATATAATACCCAGTGCTCATCATAACAAGTGCCCTAATACCCATCACCCATTTAGCCCATCCCCCACCCACCTCCCCTCCAACAACCCTCAGTTTGTTCTCTATTGTTAAGGGTCTCTTAAGGGTGCCTGGGTGGCTCATTCGATTGGGCATCTGACTCTTGGTTTAGGCTCAGATCATGATCTCAGGGTTGTGGGATCGAGCCCCTGTCAGGCCCCATGCTCAGCACAGAGTCGGCTTGTCCCTCTCCCTCTGCTCCTCCCCTGCTCACATGCTCTAATAAATAAATAAAATCTTTTAAAAAATAGTCTCTATGGCTTGCTTCCCTTTTTCCCCTTGCCATGTTTATGTTTTGTTTCTTAATTTCCACATATGAGTGAAATCATATGGTATTTGTCTTTCTCTGACTTACTTCAGTTAGCATAATACACTCTAGCTCCATCCATGTAGTTGCAAATGGCAAGATTTCATTCTTTTTGATGGCTGAGTAATATTCCAGTGTGTGTGTGTGTGTGTGTGTGTGTGTGTGTGCGTGCGCGCGCGCGCGCACGTGTGTGTGTATACACACACACCCACATCTTCTTTATCCATTCATCAATCAAGGGACGTTTGGGCTCTCTCCATTGTTTGGCTATTGTTGATAATGCTTCTATAAACATCGGGGTGCATCAACTCCTTCAAATCTGTGTTTTTGTATCCTTTGGGTAAATAACTAGTATTGCAATTGCTGGATCATAGCATAGTTCTATTTTTAACTTTTTGAGGAATCTCCATCCTGTTTTCTAGAGTGGTTGCACCAGTTTGCATTCCCACCAGCATGTAAGAGGGTTTCCCTTTCTCTGCATCCTTGCCAACATCTGTTGTTTCCTGTGTTGTGTGTTGTTAATTTTAGCCATTTTGACAGGTGTCAGGTGGTATAGAGATACTGGGTTTTTTTTAAATGATTTTAACATTGTCTTATGGATAAAATAAAGTTCACATTTACCTGTCCTTTAGCAAAGCCACAGAGAAGTCTTGAGCAGTCATTGTTGATACTGAGGGCAGAGATGGCTCCATACTGACCTCCAACACTAGTGCTACCCAGACAAAGTCGCAAAGCTTGATTCTGATCTAAAGAAAGCATATTTGTAAAATCAGGTGAAAGAAATGAAAGGAGTGAAAAAATATGTATTTAGTATCAGCTTGTTTTCAAAGACTTGGGAGGTAGCAACAATCAAAAGAATCAAAGGATGAAGTTATATTCATTTTAATGTATTTACTGAGCATGTAGTAGATGCTTGGGCATTGAATCAGACACTAAGAATGAAGAAAAAACCAAGATCTACAAGTAAGAATATAAAACTTGCTAATGATAAGTAAAAAAAAAAAATCCATAAGTAATCTTTATCTCTTTGAACAAATGAATGATCTTTCATCTGTCTCATTCTAAAATTGTATTTCTTGCTGTTTTCAGGATGCAATGTTACAGAGAATACCACCCTTTAAAGTAGCTTTAAGTTTTCAAAAATCAAAATTTATTAATTCAGAATTTGGCTGAATTTACATTTATATTATCCACAAAGAAAAGGTTTCCTATGCAAAATAACAGTGCAAACAAAATTACAGAGTAAATATTTAAATTACTTAAGAAAATTATTCTCAAGCATCAACATTTGATATGCTAAAAGCAAATAGTTCAAATCTTTACTAGATTAAGTTATTTAAGAGTAAGGATCTTGCCTTAGTCAATTCTGATTTTCTTCAGGAGGCATTCAAATATTAAAATTTATTATCTAATAAGTAAAAGAAATTCCTCTAAGACTTCTCCTAGGCAATGCTTATTTTGTGTAGAGTTCATTATTGTGCCCACTTGAAAATAATGAAACAAAAAATTCAAGTATAAGAAGGCATGCCTACAAAATTTAACTGTTTAGGGGGAATAAAACTCACCATATTTGCACAATCTGGAGTTCTCTGAACTCACCCAGCAATTGTTTGTGCCTGCCTTAACTACTTACATGCTATTCTTTGGAGGTAATTATGTCTTACTTCCACTATTAGACCATGTCGTTTCTAAGGGCTAAGATCATAAGTGAACTAACACTCCCAGAATACCTAGCCCAGTGCCTTGTACTCAGGAGGCATCTGACAATCATCTGAATAGCTTCCACATTTGCAAATCTTCCTTCTCTAAGGGTAAATCTAGTTATTAGAAAGAACCTAAAGACATTCATTGTCAGATCTAGGGAATAATACTATGTAGACTTTTTGCCCATCCAAAGTGAATATTGTAAGAACATTTTTCTGTGTTCATAAACTGGCTCAAATAGCAATCCCCATCTCCCAAAAGAGTTCTGACACAATTAATGGATGCACTGTATCTGGCACACAGAAAATATTCAATGTTTTCTGAAATCATCTTGGCTTTTAGCCTTCTAAGATGAATATTCAAATGTACTTAAAATGTATTTAAAATGCCATTATCTTTATTCACCTCTAGAACGATTACAATGACAGATTTTCTTCCTTCCTCACATATTTTTCCTTCCTCTCCCAATTTGATCCAAATTATTAAAATTTCCTTTATTCTATTTTTCCAACTCTGAATAAAACACCTCATTTTATTTTTGCTTTACTGAAATTGCCTGCCAAAACAGTGTTATCCATGATCCTTATCTTGTCAGGGATGCCTCATACAGTTAGTGGATTTATCCACATATCTTATTTTGCAAACTGTCAAGATAGGATCGTTAGGCAACACTGTTCTACACACACACACACACACACACACACACACACACACACACACATATAGATACACACACATATATATACACACCACTACTTTGGGCCGTGTGTGGAGGCAACAGATGGAATGAAAGTAAGAGGACAAAGACAGAAATTCCCTATCAGCCTCACAAAGAACCCCATGAGTCTGGACTGCCAGCCTTTCAGGCACAGAGCAGTATCTAAATAGCATCCTGCTGGGATCCTTTGTAATCTGTGCTTTGAGATCCAAACGGTACACAGTTCTGATCCACCAATACTTAAAGACACTCACTACTGCTTTCAGATTTAACAAAGTTCACACTTTAGACTATTTTAAGTATTCTTATAACTCAAGGAGAGTAAGAATAGGAGAATGTGGGAATATGATAAAGAATAAGGGTACCATTAAGGGAGGAAATAAAAGAAAGGAAGAAAAATTTCTAGATTAAAAACCGAAACAGGTCTGCTTTCCTATGGGTCCTGTGTACTACAAACTAGCTGCAACACAGGGGACCAAATTATCAAGCTTGGTCATTCCTGAAATATGTATGAATTTACATCCCACGGGACTGTGTTAATGAAAACATTAACTTTTTCCCTTGATTTTTACAATGTATTTGTTATGTTTATAATGTCACTTTATACAGTAAGCACAGCAGTGAGGTGATGGACAGTGTATAAAATGTATTCTGGTTTTAACTCCACAAAGATATCTGTCAATTCTTACTGCTGTCTTTATACATTCTATATTTATGGTACCATATTAACAAACCTGCTATCACGCAATTTAGACTAAATTCAGAAAAGGTAGAATTTCTGTGTAAAGAAGAAATCAGAATCTTACGGGAGAGGTTTCTTCTGCTAAGGTAACTTAACATTCCGTATCCCAGATTATTCTGGACACTTCTGGAAAAGGGTATTTGGTAAAAATAAAAATAAACCTCTTCCAAACACTTGAATTCTAAAGTTATATGGAAAGAACAGAAGGACCTGGACAGAAGCAAGAGAGGTAAAAAAAATCAGGGCTCTCCATCCTGCACTCCTCCAGGGAGCTCCTGATCACCTTAATTTTTAAGGAAAAATTCTATTTTCCCCTACTCTCAAAGTCTGCTTTATCTATTGTTGGGAGAAACCATTAAATTAGCAATACAGCTAATTTCATTTACAGAGTCACATAAAATCACATTTGGTTGGCATTGTCAACTTAGCTTTAAAAAAAATTGGAGTGGGTCCTTATAAAGCAAATAACTCTAGGCAAGAAATATGAAATGAGACTATCAGCTTTCCTATAAACTTCACAGAGTTGGCACAGAGCTTAAATAAGAAAATGCCTATGAAAAATGTGAAAACTATCAAATGTTACAAAAATGCAAGGAATTATTATTAATGATAATAGCTTACCAATTAAGACAACTTGAAGCCTAGTTATCACAAACACTGTAATGAATTATACCTATTTCTTTTATTAATCTATCTTTCAAAGTATACGTTGCTTAGGGCAGATCTCCTCAGCATATTCTGGGCTTAAGAGTAATGTGCTAAATAGGAAAGAAAAGCCAGAAGTAATGTATAAATCTGTAATAGCCATAAAATCTAAATCTGAACATACTTCAAGAGAATTTCTGCTCTTTCTATATACCAAAATTGACCCAATCCTCTACTTCTTCATCCCTAATTTGCTTTAACTAGTTCCCAAAGACCTTCAAAGAAGGAAATAACTAGATCCTAGAAGAAATCAAATTTAATAGTATGTATAGAGCTCTCATTGCCAGCATTCATCATTCAATACTACTCTTTCCTTACCCTTTGTACATATTAAAATATTCTGTAAGACCAAAAGAAAATAAGAAAAGAGGTAGTACAAAACATTTTTCATTAAAGATCATGGAACAGTAGAAGCACTTTACCTGACCTCCACCCAACACACAGCATTCAAGTCCTCACCCCTCTGTAAAGCTCACTGACGGAAGCCTGGGACACAGCGAATTCCCACGGCTAACTGGCTATCACCTAGAATGCTGATGCTTACAGTAAGCTAGCTGTGTTCTAAACCTGCTCATTTTTTTTCTAAACCTGTTCATGCCACTGTAATGTTACTGGACTTTAAAAACTTAATTAAACAATAGGTGAACTGATGAAATAGAGTGAAAAAGAAAGAGCTACTGTTTCCATGAAAACTAAATGAATGCTCATGAAAAACTTGGTAAAGGTGTGTCTTTGAAAATCTGTCATGAAATAAGATGTGGACAAGATAAAGGTCAAAGATTGAAGAGTTCTTTGGTAAAAATCCACAATTTGGGGGACAAAAAATCTACAATTTTGTACTCCTCAACTGATTCACAGATGCCTAAGCTTCTACCTTTTTTCCTTTTTAATTAAAAGTACAAATTCTTTGTGATGCATTACCGATGCAGTTTATTACAAAAAAAGAGCTGCTGACCTCCAACTGGCAGATACAAACTAAAAGAAAAGGCTTTGGACTGTATCAAAAGATTAAGGAGAAAAATCAGTATTTGTATATTTTCAATCAAAATAAAACCTTGAAAGTATGCATATATTTATAGTTTTTAACATTCCCTGCTTTAACCAGTTTCAATTAGCTGTTGTTGTTTTTTTCAGTAAGCATTTCATAAGAAGGCATCAACTATAATTGACAGCATTCTCTTTCAACACTAAAAAGGTCAAAAGAAAAACAGTCACTCATGCAAACCAAAATTACTATACCTTTTCCTTTGAATCCATGGAGAAAAGATCAAAAGAAAGAGAAAAGCAAGAAATCAGTTCAAAAGTTCAGAGGAAAGACAGGTAAAATTTCAAAAGTATAAGAGACAACCTTTAGTTATCTCCGGGAATGATACTAAATGTGATTAACCAATTTATGATTATATTCAGGTATTGATTATGGGAAAGAGAAAATGCATAATATCCAAATCATAGCACAGTGAGTAATTCCAAGTCCAGGAAGTTTGATAGAAATAAAAACAACTTCAAAAAGATAATCTACTTCAGTATACTAACAACCCCCAAAAAATAGGAAACTAAGGGCCTTGGAATAGGGACACATCTTTATGAAGATGTGAATTTTGAGCTCCCATATTATAGGAAAAAACCAAGATACATAATAATAATCACATACCTATAGTCCATTGAAATAGGCAATATACATCGCCTTTAAGAAGCTTACAATGATCACTATTTTAATGACCCAGGCCTCTATTCCAAAAAGAATCTAATGTTAACTTAAAACAAGTACAATTCTTCCTGCTACACTTTTCCTATGATCAGCAAAGATATTTAAATGAGATCAGATTTAACCCAGACTTCTAATCTAGACACTTCATAGTATCATCACTCTGCCATTTGTTATTGTCATTCAGGCAAATTTTAATCCATTTGTTAAAACTCACTGTCCAAATAATCAGATCCCCACAAGAAATATTGAGTAAAAGTTACTAACTGCATGATTCAAAACCCAAAGCAGGAGCCTGGGTAGCTCAGTCGGTTAAGCGTCTGCTTTCGGCTCAGGTCATGATCCCCCACATCAGGCTCCCTGCCCAATGGGGAGCCTGCTTCTCCCTCTCCCTGCCGCTCTGCCTATTTGTGCTCTGTCAAATAAATAAATAATAAAATCTTTAAAAAAAAAAAACCCAAAGCATAACCAGATTATTATGATTCTTTTTCAAAATGTTCACTTTGGCATACTTCCTTTCCCATGAGACTGTAATGAAAGATTACCATTTCATCATATCTACAGCAATGCTGTTGAGACCTAAAAAAAATTAAGAAGCAGGCCCAAGGAAATTAAGAAGTAGCAGAAGACAGTAGCAAAAGATAATGTACTCTTCTCCTCTGTTGGGTTTTTATTTTTAAAGTATTCATTTAATTCATTGCAGTAGCTCTACATGGGTTTGATTATAAACAGACACATATTCCTATAACCCTGTGGTAAGGAAGGGATGTTAAAGAGGACGGAGTTGAGGAAAAGTGAACACTGGTTAAGTGGGAACAAAAACTCAACATGCATTCTTCTGACAGATAAACATATACATTGTACTCGATTCTCATTCATCTTAGTTCTTCTATTCTTTTCTTCATGTACCTTGGAATCTGCCTCCTTTTCTCTGAGGACAGAATTATAGAGAATGGTGAAAATGCACTGACCTGGGATTCAGTACTTCTTGATTCTGAACTTGGCTCTGTGTATCTCTCTTAATCTCTCTAGTTCTCAATCACCTCATTGTAAAATAAGGACACTAAACTAAAGGTCCTTTTACGATCCTTTCCCCAAATCCTTTCAATCTAACACCAATTATGCCTCCCCAGGAAAATAGTCATTCTTACACCTGATAGGAGAGGAGGCTGGTAGAACTTCCTAGAAGCGATTAGGTTATATCAGAAGTGTATAAAATGTTCCTATTTAATTAAATTATGAAACATGGAAAAAAATAAAAATAAAAAATAAAATGTTTATAAGCAACTGTCCTTAAGCAACCCCACCTTGGGAATTTGTTCTAAAGAAGTAATCATGTGCACAAAAATGCAGTTACAAAGATGTTCATTGCTATACTGTTTTTTAAGAAACAACCCAAATGTCTTAGTGTAGGAAATGGCTAAATTATGGTGAATCCATTTAAAAGAATACTATGTAGCCATTAAAAATGATGTTACAGATGAATATATAATTACATGCAAAGATGTTCATTATGAAGAAAAAGCCGGTTACAAATTAACATGATTCCATTTTGGGTGTGTACATATACACACACTCGTACAAAAAAAAAAAAAAGATTAGAGGGCCATACAGAAATGTTAGGGATTATTCCTGGACGGTAGAGTTTGTTATATCTTCAACCGTTTGTTCATTGAAATTTTCTACTATGAACACATATCAATTATGAAATAAGAAAAAAATTATTCAAAGAATTAATTCTAAAGTTCTCTCAAGAGAATTATATTTTGTGTTCATTCTTCACACTCCCAAATAATAACTCTATTATTTAAATCAATCACCTCTTAAAAGACTGTTAAAATCACATGATAGGGCGCCTGGGTGGCTCAGTCGGTTGAGCGACTGCCTTCGGCTCAGGTCATGATCCTGGAGTCCCGGGATCGGGTCCCGCATCGGGCTCCCTGCTCAGCGGGGAGTCTGCTTCTCCCTCTGACCCTCCCCCTTCTCATGCTCTCTCTCTCAAAAATAAATAAAATTTAAAAAAAATTTAAAAAAAAATAAAATAAAATAAAATCACATGATAATTAAGATTTTTAGCATATTTATAAAAAAGAATTCATATTGTTCAAAAACAAGGGAAAATAACCACTTTTTCATTCATACGGTAAATAATGATGCAAGGCCAACAGAGATTAAATTGTTGTACTGTAGTACTGTGTATTAAAGTGTTCCCAGGTAATCCTTATATAATATACTGTAGATTCTTCACTAAAATACAATCTTATTGGGAATTCCATTTAAGAGAGATGCAAAAGACTGAAGATGCAGAAGAGAACATTAAAAATGACAGAAAAATATATCTAATAGTCTTTAAATAAAAAAACAGAAGATGTTCTGCTCATAGTACTGAATTCAAAAGTAATGCAAAGAATAATGAAACTAGGACTATTTAGTCTCATGTAGGAAAAAAAAAAAGAGAAAATAGTTAACACTATCCATCTACTATACAAATGAATGTTAAGTTTTCTTCTCAACCAATAAATGAATGTGATTATAGGATAGAAATTTTTAAGGTTAGAGGGATTTACAATGTAAATGAAAAAGAACTTACTGTCAGTTTGAGTTACAAAAAATTATTGAGAAAGCCTGTGACTCTCTTTTCCTCAAGATCTTTCAGAATACCTGCTAGGATATGATTTAGAATCAAAAATCACCACCACCACAAACTGAGGCAAACAAGAGGACAACCCAAGGTCCCTTTCAACTTTATATTCTTTCTGTCTAGGTCTGCAGAGTCAAAAGATATGATGTGATAACTTACAAATTCATGGAGAAGAAAAACTTGCAATGAGCAACAGAATGAACTTGGGTCAAGTAATTTTAACTACAAAACTACTGACTAGGGCGCCTGGGTGGCTCAGTCGGTTAAGCGTCTGCCTTCAGCTCCGGTCATGATCCCAGGGTCCTGGAATCAAATCCCACACCAGCTCCATGCGCAACGTCCCGGGAGCCTGTTTCTCCCTCTGCCTGCCGCTCCCCCTGCTTGTGCACATGTACACGCATGCACGCTCCTTCACTCTCTCTGACAATAAATAATTTAAAAAAAAAACCTACTGACTTCTACTTTTCAAGTTTTTCTGATTTTTTTCACAAGAAAACAAAGTTTACAACGATTAAAAGATAAAATCCAAAAGGATACTTAATATCTACAGTAAGGAAAGTACTTAGAAAATTTACCAAATATTAAAGCCAATCCATGAGATGTACCCACAGCTATCAGACTGGACACTGCCTGAGAACAAAAGGGAAGATTACATTTTGAAACATTACATCAAGGATCTTGAAACAATCCACGTTGAATTTGTCGGTCTTCTTTCCTTTAGGCACCAGATGACATACCAACTATTATAAATAAGGAGAATTTCATCTAGGAGGCAAAACGGGAAATGAAACTCAGGACGTTTTATTTCTGGGAATCCCTCTAAATTTACTCCAAGGGTAACAATATCAAAATATCATATGTTCAACATTATAGGCAAAAACACACCACTTAGCTTCCTCTAAAGCAATTTAAAAAAAAAAAACAAAAATTCAGGGGTCCAAAGTGAGGCACTTATGCTCCCCACCAAGAGCCAGCTATGAGGTGTGGGAAAGGGGTGAGAAAGCCCTCCAGTTTATTCACAGGAGCCAAAAGGCACCAGAAATATTCAAAATTCAGCCCACTTCCTCACCAACTGACTGACTAATAAGAAAGCTACAGGAGACAGCTGGAAGTGTTCAAGCAAAGAAGGCACTAGTGTGCTTTCAATATCCCCCAGTTCTCTATGATCGCGCCACAGATTTACTATTTGGCAGGCTTGGCAAGGGAGTGCAGAACTATTAAATGTACTATTTACCACGAAGTGATTTCACCAAATGCTGTTTTCCACTCCCTTATAACCAAAGGGAGGCCGAATTACAGAAGGAGCAAATTTACTTGGGCATGGGACGACCATATATAAATAAATCTGGAAAAGGCTAATCATTATTCCATTATATGCTTCTCAAACAAAAGCCTGAAGAATAACAATACACTAGAAAGGAAGAGAACATTCAATATGGAAAAATTTTAAATCTGATTACTGACAGTAAATGACCTATGATTTTATCATAATTTATGCAATAACTTTGAACATTAGAAGAATAAATCTAAGAAAACCCAATCAAACCCAAGCTTACCTTTAAAGGATTATTTAAAGTGTACTTACAATTGCTGTAGGCAAGCCAGCATCCACTTTGTCCTAAGCGAAATTAAAAGAGTATTTGAAAAGATATTCTCATTTTAAAACAAAAAACTAAGAGAAACCACAGAAGTTGCACATAACAACAAAATATAAAGAGCACGAGAGTGGATTATTTTATTCTACTAACTGTAACAAATGCTTTAGGAAAGATACTGATTATAAATGAAAACAAAGAAAAACAGAGGAAAGAAGTTCCACTTTCAATAATGTGAATAAACTCTAAGCACTATAAGTTAAAACAATAGCAGTACCTAAAGATTTTAGAAAAGGGAAACATGCTAAAATATTCTTCCTCTAAGCTTCCTATCCAGTCGATTATCCAATAACCCCTCAATTAAACCCAAGTAGGGTGTATTCAGTCAGTCCTCAGGCATAAGAAAATAAAAAATTAACTCTGTACAGTAACCTTGGAAAAGTCACCTAACCCTCTCTAACCCTCTGGTTATTAGTCTCCTCATCTGTTAAAGGAAATAGCAAATACTGCCCTATATACCTCAGTGAGTTGTCCTGAGAATCAAATTAAATGTAAAGTATCATATAAACGTAAAGGTATCTATTTGATGCTTTTGTAACTTTGAATAATAAGAGCTTACAATGATAAGCACCGTAGTAGCAAAAAGCTTTCACATACATATATTACACTATTTGGTTCTCAAACTGCAAGAGAGATAAAACATGTATTTTTCTGACTTTTCAGATTAAGAAAACAGAAATTTTAAAGAACATAACTGACTTGCCCAAATTTATTCAAGAAGTGGTAGAACTGTGTCTCAAACTCAGCTTCAGTTCCCAGGCCAGGCCCTTTAGTAACACTTCTACATTTCTTTTCTGTCTGTCCCTCTCAATGTGGTCAACTAGTTATTAGAATTTCTCAGAAGGCAGAATCTATTTTATACAACTTTAGAGCTTCCTGGGAACTAACTCAAGAAACTTATTTCAGTGCACAGGAATATAAGGAAGAACAATCACAAGGCTGCCATGTTCAATGTTCTGGATAGCAGGATATACCCAACCTTGTATGGATATGTGTGTATAAAGTATACCTAAGTATACATGCTTGACAATTAAGATGCATGCAATAAATATTTGATGAATGATTGATTTGTGTCCTGGATAGGGAAAAAGAATGAGAGAGCAGATGAAGAACATAAAGTAACTTCTGATTTCATTAAGAAGTCAGCTTACTTTAAAAGCTCAAAAACAAACAAAAAAATAAAAAATATGTGTAAAAAATAAAAGCTAAAAAAATCAGAGATGTGGGAAGCACTTTAGAGATTATAGAAATTTAGTATATAAATTTCTGTATCTTAGAGTAGTGATTCTCAAAAGCCAGGCTACATTAAAATTATCTAAGATACCTGTTAAAATGCAGACCCCTATGCTATACTACTAAAGATGCCAATTCAGTAGGTCTGGGGCGACGCCCAGGAATCTGCATTTTAATCGGCATGTCAGGAGCTTATAGTGGACACATTTGGGGACATTGTGCTAGGGTATCTCTACTATCTTAGGTGATCATCAAAGTGACAAATAACCTTTAAAATTAATTTGAATTAGTTTAAAATATAGTCATCTGTGATAGTACTTTTATCTGTGAATGAGCTGTGACCTTCATTCACAACTCCAAAAGTTTCATCTCTCCTAAGTGTCATCCACGCATGGACTACAAAGCCATGATGAGCAAGGCCCCAGGCAATCCTACTGACATCTCTATCACTATCCACATGGCTGAAGGCATTACTGAACAACTATTCAGGAGAGATACCCCAAAATATAACTAGCTTTACATGTTAATAAACCAACCATCACAGAAAAGCATACAATTTAAATTGAGCCGGTAATCCAACATTAGGAAAGCAGAGTATGAGCACTGTCACAAGAAAAGCAGTTTTCATTTTAACAGACCAAAGGAGCTCAGCCATAGCAATGAAATAAGAATAGAATGCAAACACTCTGGGATTTATTAGAATTTTTCCCTCCTCTTCAAGAGGGAGAAGAAACCCTTTTAAATAACAGATTTATCTAATCAATGTTCAGTGTCTGAGTTTTAGTTCAGTCTCCATTATTCAAAATATTTTTAAAACTGCACAGGTGGGTCAAATGACTGTTCTGGTTCATCTTGATCTTGAAAGGAATGAATTTCATCACCTACATAAGGATTAAATTCAGAAAACGTCATGGAAATGTAATCCTCAACAGGTGGTTCCCATTCTAGCAAATCTGAGTTACTCTCCACCTAAAAGAGGCAGGACAATTGCCCAGGTTCCCTCCATGGTTTGACTATCTCTCTATTTAAATTGACTTCATGATATATGAGCTGGGTCAGGGTATACCAATTGCCCACAGAGAACACTTTCTTTCCTTTTTGCCTTTTTATTTGTTTGGTTTGGTTTCTGCAACAGAAGTCTTCTTGGATAAATCTGACAACTGTAATGTGGTTATGATGTCATGATGCCATTCCTATATCAAGCTCTTACTCTTCTGGAAAATTAAAACTTTGTCCAAACTGAATATGCAAAATACCAATTAAGCTCTATGAAAACATTTAAAAAGTCAAAGTTCCTGGGATATGAATATGTCATCTTTGTACATATCTTATGAAGGATATCTTCTGTTATCTTATACATAAGATCTACACAATGAATTCAGAAAACTAAAACTGAAAGACCACACAGAATTATAGGCTTTGAAAATTTGATAAAACATACCAGAATCAGCATCCATTGTCTTGGTGATCTATTAAAATTTTTTCATCAACTCAGTGCTCTAAAAAAATTTTCAAAGAAGACCACAGATATTCTGTTCCAGCCATTACACACTGGCCACATTCACCAATACCACCTCCATTTCACAACAAAGCAGCACTACAGCTGGAGCCAGAAACTCCAATTTGGAGTAATTGTTCTGCTATCTCCTAACCCAATGATGTAAGACAAGTTACTATATCACCTCTCTGAGCCTCTCTTCTCATTTGTAAAACAGGATATGGCTTTCCTTACTTTCAAAGTTGTAAGAGTAAATAAAATAAGGTACATGAAAAGAGTTTTGTGAATTACAAGAAAATCACTCAGTTGTAAAAGATTCTGATCAATCATTTCTCCATATGAAAAGACTAAAAAAAACAAGCATTCTAACTCAACCAAATACACAAGATGGCAACTAAACTAAAAAGGAATTTAAAGAAAAGGCAGATAGTATTCCTTTTAGGCTTGCTGCCATATTTCATTTAGGCACACCAGAGACTCTGAGCAGACCTTTATTTCATGGCTGCACTAATTTCTACGTCAAGATGTGTAGCCATGTCTTATGAGTCAAAAACAATCACACAAGACCCATGAAAGCCAGATTCTATTTTTTTTTTGTTTTTAAGCCTCCAGCCAAGAGAAGTGCTGTGCTTTGTTTTATGCTCATTCCTACTTCATTATGCCATTGTAGGTTACAAATCTGGGGAAGAGAACAAAATACTTACAGCTGCAGACACTATCTGGGCAGAAATTCCCTTCAAAAGTGAATGTCGCATAACTGACCCATGGAGTGAAAAAGAATCAGGTAATTTCTTCTTTCTAAAAAAAAAAAAAAGAAAGAAAGAAAATGTTGAAGAACATAAAAAATTTTTTTGAAAAAGCAGGGTCTCAAAGCTTTGAAAGTCCAAAACACACATAAAAATAAGAAAAATAGAGGGGCGCCTGGGTGGCTCAGTCGTTAAGTGTGCCTTTGGCTCGGGGCATGATCCCGGGGTCCTGGGATCGAGCCCCGTATCGGGCTCCCTGCTCCGCGGGAAGCCTGCTTCTCCCTCTTCCACTCCCCCTGCTTGTGTTCCTGCTCTCCCTCTCTCTCTCTCTGTCAAATAAATAAATAAAATCTTAAAAAAAAAAAAGTAGAAAACAGCACTGTAATTTGTTAGCTCTGTTTGCAATGAGGTATAAAGAGTCTATAGGTCCTACATTAAGATATTGTACTAAACCCACCTTGAACTTCAGAGAAGCACAAGCAGGAAAATGAATAAAGCCACCATTCCTTTTTCACTGATTCAAACTGTTCCTCCTTTACCTTAAACTATGGCAAGAGGTTCTAGGACTCACCAGAAGGCTGCCTATCCTGCCCTGCACGTCTACCTCACCTCTACCTACCGTCCACCCTGGCCCACCTTTCTTGCCTTCCAAGCTTTAACCGCCCTCTCATTCTTCCACCAAGCACCTCAAATTCCCCACTCATTATTCTATCTCTGCTGCTCCTACTAACAGCTCCTTTCACTTACCCAACTCATCATCGCACAAAAAGTAATTTTTAATTTTCTACCAAACACTGAGCACCTCCTCCGTGTGACTTAAAGTATGCTCTGGGGATACGAAAATAAGTAAGTCAAGCCTCCTAGTCTCAAGAACCTTGCAGCCTAGCTAGAGGGACTAATAAGTAACTTAACCTTTTTTTTTTTTTAAGATTTTATTTGAGAGAGTGAGAGAGAGAGAGAGAGCAAGCAGAGGAGCAGGGGGAGGGGCAGAGGGAGAAGCAGACTCTCCACTGAGCAGGGAGCCCGACGCGACTCGGGGCTCGATTCCAGGACCCTGGGATCACGACCTGAGCTGAACACAGACACTTAACCAACTGAGCCACCCAAGCGCCCCATAAGTAACTTAATCTTAAAAGATAAATGTTAGGAAATAACAATGGGTAAAGCACTACAGAGATGAAAGAAAGAGGAGTTTAATCTTATTTATTAGGGGGATATCAGGGACAGCTATAGGAAAAAAGATGTCTGACCTGGCCTTGATGGATAACTAGTAGGAGTCTGGCAGGCAACAAAAAAGCACAAACAGAAATATGAAGATGTAAACGTGCACAGTGTGTGAGGGGAGTGTAAGTACACAAAAGGCATGGACCAGGAGGATGGGAGTAGAGGTGCTTAGAGATTAGGTCGAAATGGTAAGCAGGGACCAGACTGATGCTATGCAAGAGTTCTGACATTAAATAAGGCAAAAAAAAAAAAAAAAAAAAAAAAGACACCATATATGTTTTTTTGAGTACAGTTGACACACATTAGTTTCAGGTGTACAACTTAGTGATTTGACAAGTTTATACGTTATGTTATGCTCACCACGAGTGCAGCTACCAGCTGTCCCGTTACATCACTATTACAATACCACTGACTGTATTCCTTATGTTGTGCCTTTTGTTCCTCTGACTTATTCGTTAAAAGACATCGTATCTTTTGAAGCAGGTAGAGACCAGATGGTCAAAATCGTTTAAGTTATCATGGTTCCATACAAATTTTAGGATTTTCTACTTTTGTGAAAAATCCCATTGGGATTTTGATAGAGACTGCATTGAATCTACAGATGGTTTGGAGGAGTATGGACATTTTAACAATATTAATCCAAAAACGTGGGATATTTTTCCATTTATTTGAGTCCCCAATATCTTTCATCAATGTCTTACAATTTCCAGTGTACAGCTCTTTCACTTCCTGGGTTAAACTTATTCATAAGTATTTTATCGTTTTGGATGCTACTATAAATTATTTTATTCTTTTCAGATATTTCATTGTTCGTGTTTAGAAACACAACTGACCCCAATTAGCCAAAGCAATCTGGAGAAAGAAGAACAAAGCTGGAGGCATCACACTTTCTGATTTCAAACTATATTACAAAGCTGTAATCAACAGTATGAAACAAAAAAACAAAACAAAACAATCAGTATGGTACTGGCATAAACACTGACAGAGAGACCAGTGGAACAAATTTGAGAGCCCAGAAATAAACAGTTGTATATACACTCAATATTTGACGATGAAATCAAAAGCACTCAATGGGGAGAGAATACAGTCTCTAATAAATGGTGTTGGGAAAACTGGATAATCACATGCAGATGAAACTGTACCCTTATCTTATACCGCTCACAAAAATTATAGGGATTCAATGGATTAAAGACTTAACTATAAGACCTAAGCCATAGAACTCCTTGAAGAAAACACAGGGAAAAAGCTCCCTGACACTGGTGGTGGCAATGGATTTTTTGTATAGGTCATCAAAAATACAATCAACAAAAGCAAGTATAAATAAATGAGACTATATCAAACTAAAAAACTTTTGCACAGCAAAAGAAAATCAACCAAATGAAAAGACAACCTATGGGACAGTAGAAAATATTTGTAAACTGTTTATCTGATAAGGGGTTAATATCCAAAAAATACAGCAATCCTCCCTTATCTGCATAGTTTCAGTTACTTGTGGTCAACCACAGTCCAGAAGCAGATGATCCTCCTTCTGAGGTACTGTCAGAAGGTCAATAGTGTAGCCTAACCCAATGTCATGCATATGTTATTCACTTAACTTCATCTCATCACATAGGCATTTTACCATCTCAAGACATTATAAGAAGGGTAGGTATAGTACAATAAAATATTTGAGAGACCACTTTCACATAACTTTTATTATAGTATATTCTTATAATTGTTCTATTATTGTTGTTAATCTCTTACTGTATCTAATTTATAAATTAAACTTTATTGTAGGTATATACAGGAAAAAATGTAGTTTATATGATTCAGTACTATCTGCAAATCTTTTGCATCCACTGGAGGTCTTGGAATGTATCCCCTGTGGAAAAGGGAGACTACTATCTCAATAGTAAAAAAAAAAAAGAACCAAGGAATTTGAGTAAAAAATAGGCAGAGGATCTGAACATTTTTCCAAAGAAGACATACACATGGCCAACAAGTACATGGAAAACTGTTTAGCATCACTAATCACCAGGGAAATGCAAATCAAAACCACAACGAGATATCACCTATTGGAATGGCTATTATCAAAAAGACAAGAGGGGCGCCTGGGTGGCTCAGTCAGTTGGGCGTCTGCCTTCGGCTCAGGTCATGGTCCCAGGGTCCTGGGATCGAGCCCTGCATTGGGATCCCTGCTCAGCAGGGAGTCTGCTTCTCCCTCTCCCTGCCCCTACTCGTGCTCTCTCTTGCTCTCTCTCTCAAATGAATAGGTAAAATCTTTAAAAAAAAAAAAAAAAAGCCAAGAGATGACAAGTGTTGGTGAGGATGTGGAGAAAAGGGAATCCTTGCGCACTGGTGGGTGGGAATGTAAACTGGTGCAGCCACTGTGGAAAACAGTATGGAAGTTCCCCCCAAAAGTTAAAAACAGAACTACCATATGATCCAACAATCCCACTTCTGGGTATATATCCAAAGAAAACAAAATCACTATCTCAAAGAGATATCACCACTGCCACGTTCATTACAATATTACTCACAATAGCCAAGATATGGAAATATCTTCAGACAAATGGGTAAAAATAAGAGGACACACACACACACACACACACACACACACACACACACACACACACAGGAGTATTATTGGGCCATGATAAAGAAGGAAATCCTGCCATTTGTGACAACATGAATGGATCTTGAGGGCATTATACTACATGAAGTAAGTCTAACAGAAAAAAACAAATACTATATGATCTCACTTACATGTGGAATTTAAAAAAAGACTAAAGAACAGTATTATCAGGGGCTGAGGAGTGAGGGAAATGTGGAGATGTTGGTCAAAGAGTACAAACTTCAAGTTGTAGGATGAATAAGTTCTGGGGATCTAATGTACAGCATGAGGGCTATAGCTGACAATAACGTGTTATATACTTGAAAGTTACTAAGAGAGTAGATCCTAAATGTCCTTACCAAAACAGAAATGGTAATTATGTGAGGTGATGAAGGTGTTAATTAACCTTATTGTGGTAATGATTTCACAATAAATAGTGTATCAAAGAATCACACTGTACACATTACATTTGCCTAATGTTATATGTCAGTTATATCTCAATAAAGCTGAGGGAAAAAACATATTCATCTATCTGTAGGAGATAGTGATGAACAGGTTAATATATCCAGCAACGGTCCCTATCCCACAAGAGTTGACAGGCTAAAGAAGACAGCACTAATACAGGCAAAATTTAAGAAAGGAAAAATACACATGACTTTATCAACATTAAAGTTACACATGAATTCAATAAAGTATTTACATTAGGCTTCCTCCACTTCGCTTTCCTTTTCATGTGCTCTCCAAGAATTTGGGAGGTGAAAAGCAGCCAAAACGAAGTTATTTAGGGTTAGAAGTCCTTTTCCCAAATCTTTAATCATTTTGTGATTCTCCTCTGAACCCATTCCAAGGGAATGAAGGAATGCTGGAACTGACCTTAGAGAGTGGGAGGAAGGGGATGGGGAGTGCAGAAAGCATAAGGGTGGCGAGGTGAACCAAACTCCATGTTTCTACCGCAGACACTGTGCCAAGTTGGACTTGTGCTCCCTCCTAGGGCTCGACTGCTTCCAGGGGACCCCTGGCTGCTATTAGGGCTTCCTACTGGGGGTGCAGAGGACAGTGGTCATGGCATCCACCTTTTTAGCTTCTCCCCTCAACAGTGCCTAAATCTTTAGGGTCTAATAAGCATATTATTTCCACCCAAGTGGGCCTTCTATTCCCTATGCAGGGCTTCAGCAGACCACACTGTAGCATAAAGAGATATTTACATTTTAAATGATCAATACTGCAACTATATGCAAGTGTGATTTAAGTGAATACTTACCTTTTTAAGTTGGTCCTGTCACCACTATCCGAACTTGCCACAGACGAAGTATCATAGGAGTGAGAATCGATAGTATCAATGTTTAACAATGTAGGATCCTCAAGAACAAAAGACTCATCTTCATCATCAGTCTAAATTGGAAGAATATGGATCAATAAATTCACATTTCCAAATACCCTATAAGGCAGACAGGCATTAATGGGTTTCTTGAAAACATTCATGGGCTTACTTCTGCTTTTTTATCTCTTTTCCATGCCTTGTTTTTGATCAGAGAGGCATAGAAGAGAAAATTAATCTAGATAGATCTTGGTCTCTACAGAGTTCACTCCAAAAATTTCTTCCTTGTAGCAGGAAGAAGCAGTTATGCAAATTATTGTTAGCAGCAGAATACTTTTTAAAATTCAAACCTCTAGGGCACCTGGGTGGCTCAGTTGGTTAAGCGACTGCCTTCGGCTCAGGTCATGATCCTGGAGTCCCGGGATCGAGTCCCGCATCGGGCTCCCCGCTCAGTGGGGAGTCTGATTCTCCCTCTGACCCTCTTCCCTCTCGTGCTCTCTATCTCTCATTCTCTCTCTCTCTCTCTCTCTCAAATAAATAAATAAATAAATAAAAAATAAAATTCAAACCTCTATAGATGCTTTACGAGTTAACTAACAGCCCGTGGCTAATTAGAAGAAAACAAACACCACCTTACTACAAATAGTATGCCGTGAGAAATATGACAAACAGAAGAAAGGCACCCTGGGCTTGAAAGAGCATCTGCAAACACACTGATTTCATAAATTTTTTTTTTGCTCATGGAAAAGGACATAGTCCTCAAATATATGAGCAGGAGTTAGAGGTGATCCTAGAAAGATCAGTTGGGACCCAAACTGTAAAAAGCCTTATATTCCATTAAGCCCCGTGACAGCAGGGCCCATGTCCTCCTTGTCTACCACTATATTCCCTAGTGCCCAGTGCAATGCCAGACATGTATCACTCATTTCATGAACTAGGGTACTATATATAGTAGACAGTAGGAAGGCAACTAAGATGTTTAAGAAGTAGACACACATGACGGGAACCACCTTTTACAAGGATAAATGGGGCAGTAGGAAGATGGAGGAGGGTACTGGGGGAGACTGAGGCAAGGAGACTATTAAGAACCATTAAGAAGATACGGCATTGTCAAGGAAAAAGAAGAGAGTGGAGCCTAAGAATGCAGCAGAAGAGGTCAAGGGAAGGAAAAATGAAAGAGACATTACTGAGAAAACCCAAGGTCCCTGGTTACCATTTAAAAGGCGGGGGCTGGGAGGCGGGGAGGTAAGGGAGAAATCAGAGAGGATTCCAAGGTTTCTAGCTTGAACAACCAGGCAAAAGATGATACTTCTGAGCTAAGCAAAGAATGGCAGATAAAGCAGAATGAGGAGTTTAGCTTTGAACAGGCTGATTCTGAGCAACAGACATTAAAGAAAAATGCTCTGATCATACTCTTTCAGTTGGACTGCATTCTGCCTTACCATTTCCATCAATGCCTATATGGGAGCAATCTCAACTCATTATCTGTACTCTCCACCACTGCTAGCTACTGACTACCACCTCTGCCAAAGGTACTAGCCAAATCCACTGGTCTGTCTTCAGTAAGCACACCCTTGTCCTCTTGGCATCATTTAATACTACTGACCATTCCCTACGTCTTGAAATTTTCTCTTCCCTTGGTTTCCAGTACATCTCTTTCCTGCTACTCCTCCCAACTTATGAGGCCTCTTCTACCAGTCATGTTCTCTATTTTCTCCTCAGCCCAACCTCTGATTGATGCTATTCCCTGGAATTATATTCTTAGCTCTCTTCTCTTCCAGTTTCACAAACTTCCTATATGAAGGAGCTAATCCACATCTATAGCTTCAAGTCCCATGTCATGCTAATGACTCCAAACTTCAGTATCAACATTTCGCTTGAGGTTTAGGCCCATATTTCCAACTGCTTTTCGGGTATCTACACACAAACACGTCTGCTAAGAAAAAGGCTAGAATTAGCAAGGAGAGATTGTCTCTTGAGAGCTGTAGAATGGAACAACTGCTGCAGGGAAAAGGGAAAGGAAATAATCCAGAAATGAGAACTGCAGCACCAAGGGCTTAAGCAAGAGGGCCAATCAGAATCTTATTTGATTTTCTTAAGCAGCCTGGGGATGTAATTAAAGAAAACAGATCAGTTAAACTAAGCCAGGGTTGAGGGCTTACAGAATACATGAAAGAAAAAGTGAAGGAAAGAAGAGAATTGAAGCCTATCAATAAGGCTGAATTTAAAATTACTATCTACACAGCAGAGATATGAATTTTCCTGCACTGATATGTAAAATCTACATAATCCTATCAAATTTCAGTGTGTGTATGTGTCGTTGTATGTGAACTAATAAAGTGATTCTAAAACTTACATGGAAATGCAAAAGACCAGGAATAACCAAGGCAATCTTGAAGAGCAACAACAAAGATCTGAGACTATTAGATATCAAAACCTATTATATCAAACACTGGAATGTGATATCAGGTCAGGTGTAGAAAGACCAATGGAATCAGACCCACACATATATGATCACCTGATTTAAAACAAAAGTGACATCACTTTTTTTTTTTCAGTAAATGGTGCTGGCTCATACCTCACACCATAACATACAAAAAAATCCAGATGAATTGCAGATCTAAGTTTGAAAGGCAGAAAAAGAAAGATTTTAAAACAAAATAAGATAGCATCATCATGACCTTGGAATTTTCAAAATTTTCTTAAAACAAGACACACAAAAAAACTAACCATAATGGAAAAACAAAATAAGCTGAACTACATTAAGAACTTCTGCTCATCAAAATAAGCCATTAATAGAGTGAAAAAGTAACCCACAGAATGGAAGAAGATATTTGCAATACATATATCTAATAAAGGGTTTATATACATCACATATAAAGAATTCCTTTAAATAAGTTTTTTAAAAAAAGTGAGCAAAAGACATGAAAAGGCAATTCACGAAAGAGACATCCAAATGGCCCAACCCTATGTCAAGGCACCCAATTTCATCAGTTTTCAGGGAAATTCAGATTAAAACTATGATGTGGTATCACTACACACCTATAAGACCTGAATGGATAAAGTGAAAAGGAGAAAATTCAAAAGTTGATGAGCATAACGGTATTCAGAACTCCCATATATGGCTGCTGGAAGTATGTATCTTTCTGATCACGTTAAAAAACCTGTGGCAGTATCTACTAAGGCTGAACATACCCATATGTCATGACCTAACAATTCTACTCCTATTCCAAGTATAAAACCAACAGAAATGTGTGTGTATACACGTATATGCATACATATATAGACATGAATAAGAATATTCACAGCAACTTTTTTTTTCAAGATTTTTATTTATTTGACAGAGAGAAATACAGTGAAAGAAGGAACACAAGCAGGGGGATTGGGAGAGGGAGAAGCAGGCTTCCCGCGGAGCAGGGTACCCGATGCGGGGCTTGATCCCAGGAACCTGGGATCATGACCTGAGCCGAAGGCAGATGCTTAACGACTGAGCCACCCAGGCACCCCTCAGAGCAACTTTTCATAGTAATCAGAAATTGGAAATTACACAAATGCCCATCAAAAGTAAAATGAATAAATAATGGTATATACATAAAGAATTTTATGTATGGGGGGATGCCTTGGGTGGCTCAGCTGGTTAAGTGGCTGCCTTCAGCTCAGGTCATGATCCCAGGGTCCTGGGATTGAGTCCCACACCAGACCCCTTGCTCAGCGGGAAGCCCGCGTCTCCCTCTGCCTGCTCTGCCTGTCGCTCCCCCTACTTGTGCTCTCTCTCTCTCTGACAAATAAATAAAATCTTAAAAAAAAATTTTTTTATGTATGGGTATGAACAATTACATACAAAAATATGAATGAATCTAAAAACATAATATTGAGGTAAACAAGTCAGACACACAAAAACACATACTCTATCATTCCATTTATATGAAGTTCAAAGCAAGAAAGCTGATCAATGCTAGTAGAAGTTAGGATTGTGATTATCCTGGGGTTAGGTACTAAAGGGGCACACGAAGAGGTTCTGGGGTGTTAGTAATGTTTTATTTCTTCATATGTATTCTGGTTGCACAGTGCATTCAGTTTGTGAAAATTCACCAAGTTACACACGATTTGTGCACTTTTCCTCTATATACACCACACTTGAGTAAAAAGTTCAAAATAAATATCTGGCTGCACAGTAGAAATGAAGTGAAGCAGGAACTACCCAGACTGGGAGACAAGGAAGAAACAAGAGACTCGGTCTTGATTAGGTCAAAGAACAGGTTTAAGGAAGTAAGAAAATGGGAGGCAAGGGGGTGGCCATGGTTAGAGAATGGAACTTCACAATTAAAAACCTCAGAGGCAGCACAGTTTCAGACAATGACAAGGCCTGTTGCCATTATTTCATACCCTAAATTCTGAGATTCATGATGTCTCCGTAATCCCTAACTTTCCAGTCTATAAAACATCTTGGATGTCCATTTCTTCCCAACCTCTCGGCAGACTGCTATTAATGAACATTATACAATATGTGCACCCACATATCCTGGAACGAGTGCTTAGTCACTTTGCACTTCTGCCCTTTCCACTTTTTTCTTTTTTAAAATCATTTTAAAACTTTCCCCCCAATAGCCTTTGCACAGTTCTACAACTTAAATTTTATCTTTGCTTTCACTTATCCACCTGCCCAGCTCCTTGGAGAGGTGATGGCTGGCCGATGTCCAGTTCTAGTTCTCTCTCAAGGTCAGAGACAGCCATACGGCATTTTATAATCCCAGCACCTAACGCCACGAGCCAAATACATGAGGCATGCAAATTACTACTGAGGATGGCATTATCTTCTCAGATAGAATTATTATTATCTTCTCAGTAAACCACTAATGACTGTACTTACTGTTACTCATAGATAAGTAAATTGTGCAAAGACGGTTTTTCTTCACTATGAACTAGTTTCATTCACATGAGCATTTTCTTTGCCATTTTTTTGAAGATTTATTTACTTATTTATTTATTGGCGGGGGGGGGGTTGGCGAGAGGGGTAAAGGGAGAGGGAAAATCTCAAGCAGATTGCCTGCTGAGCGTGGAGCCCAATGCAGGGCTGGATCCCACGACCCTGAGATCACGACCTGAGCTGAAATCAAGAGTCAGATGCTCAACTGACTGAGCCACCCCAGGGCCCTTTGCCATTTTATACAAATATGTTCAAATATGGCTTTGTATACAACTTTCTAGGCTTACTTTTATTTCACACTTAGTAAAATAATTGAAATGAGGATATGATTAAGACATTAACTGACTAAAATTAATCTCTTCATCTCTAAATGGAAGATTTCTTCTCTATTAGAAAGGCAGTAAATAAGTATCACTGTAACCAGTTATTCTTTCATTGACCAAAGCCTTCTGTATCAAAATTTAAAATGCTACATCTTAACACAGATCATACATTTTCTAAGTTAAAATATATTCCAAATAACAGCAACATCAAATGGATATAAAAATAGAAATCAAAGTCATACAAGAATAATAAAAGATACAATTCACAGAGGAAAGTAGTTTGCATCCTATAAAGTGTTGGCTACAACCCCCAAAGTATAGGGGTAAAAGTAATAAAGACCAACACCCAACTCATTCAGTGGGCATTTCTTTTGGGGAACCTCTGCATCATTATCCTTTAGAAAACTATGGATCCAAAACAGATTCATGCATTTAAAAATCTTTCTCAAATTCGAAGCTAATACTTCCAAAAGGAGTCTTAAGCAAATTTTTAAAAGATCAAGAAGACTGAGTTCAAGAATTGTCAGCAGATGCCAGGTACATAAAAGCTCCCATACTTCACCAACATGTTACTTCCACAAAGTTCCTTTATAAAGCCTTTCTGACCTGCTAATTCAGAAAAGAATAACATCATTTCAAAACTCTGAGAAACTTTTTAACAAAGATGGTACTCATAAGATACACTGTGGAGGTTTTCCCTTTACACAGAAGGATGATGAGATGCATTTCAAGGTTGCAGCTGCTCTCTAGTATCAGAGGATGAGCTATCTGAGTATCACTGGTAGAGATGACATTATTGAAACATAATACAAGTCTCAAAAGTGACGTGAATTTAATATTTCAACTTGCTTACTAAAATGTTTTCTCAAATCTACCAAGTATAAGGCACTGTACTGGGCACAGACATGAACAACACATGGCTTCTGCCCTTGAGAAGTTCAGAGCCTAGATCAGTGCTGTCCAACTGCACTTTCTGCAGCAGTGGAAATACTCTGCACCTGTGCTATCCACTAAAATAGCCACTAGCCACATTTCAACTGAGCACTTAAAATGTACCTGTACAACTGAGACTGAATTTTTAATCTTTACTTAACTATTACTAATTTACATTAAAATTGCCACGTGACTAGTGGCTCCCATACTGGACGGTGCAGATCTAGATACATACACTATAGTTAACCCAAAAGCATTAAAATCAATTCCATAAAATGACGGTGATCATTAATATACACTTACCTCATTGAGTATGCTTTCCAGTGTTGGAGGAGTATCAACTTGAGGAATATCAAACTCCTTGTCATCAATCTAAATAGAGAAAAGAAATTATTTTCATATAATGCTGCTTTCCCTCTTAGAATTGTGAGGGTGTTTAAATTTATTAGAACCATTACCAATTAAGAGACAAACATATCACCAAACTGATCATGCAGAGAGCCAACTCGATGATCCATGGTAGGAAGGATCAGGTCAAAAGACTACAGAATTGTTTCCTATCCTATCCACATATTCACTGATTATCGAAGACAAATATACACTGACTGCACCATCTTGACAGCCCTGTCTAGAAAGCTTCTGTTCATGAACTCTGACATGTGCATTCTAAACAGGACAAAACGGCATGTCTCATGACAAGCCCCAATTTTCTAAGTGTAGAAAGCAATATACAAAACAATATACGAGGTCATAAGCAATATACAAAGGTCTGACACTGCATTTCTTAGTTATTTCATAAATTATGGTGAAAAGTGATTAGGTCAAGCAAATTGTGATTAAATATTCTCCTGGTCACAAAAAATTACTATCAAATCAATGGGAAAAAAAAAATCACTGCACACGGGACGCCCTGTTGGCTCAGTCAGTAGAGCATGCGACTTGATCTTGGGGTCATGAGTTCGCGCCCCATGCCGGGTGTGGAGCCTACTTTCAAAGACTACATAAAATATTTTTAAAAAATCACTGCACAAGATTTCTAAACCTCGCGCTAGCTCTATGATCTTGAGCATTCACTTAACATAGCCAGCCGCACTTCAGCTTCTTCCTCTATAAAATGGGTTATCAGAGTATGGGAGGCTCAGATGAGAACATATGTTAAAGTGCTTCATAAATGGTAATGACATACACAAATGAAGAGTGATATTATCCCATAAAACTGCACACAGACTTCCATTAATTCATGCAAAAATGACAGACTGAATCTTTAGGTCATAGCTCTCTCTAACCATCTTAACAAAAGCTGAATTTTTACCAGATCATTTTTGAACTCCAGTTCCTTGTCCAGATCTATGTAAGAGAATTTTGAAAGCGAAGCTTCAAGATTGAAAGACTTATTCAGCTCTTCTTCAGTAGTCTTGGCACTGGGGCTCTGTTCCACATTTTCATGGTCTGGTTCATTTTCCATCTTTATAATAATTATAATTCAGTCAATCCAAGCAAGTTTTGTTTTGTTTTGATTTTTGGCCTTAGATCATGATGACCTGAATGATCTCTTCTCAAAAAAGAAAAAGTATACATTATTTAGATTTCCTCAATTGGACATTCCAAAGACTTACTTGGTCAGACTTTTGTGGAAACTGATTGTTCATCAATCATCTGATTGTAAGGCAAAGAGAAGTCAGTATGGTCTGAGGTATGATATTGGGGGAGAGTTTCTATAGGAGCACAAAGGAGGAACATTTAACTCAGGAGTCTGGGAAGTGGCCCACCACCCAAAGTCATTAAGTCTGCTGATAGTGACAGACTTCCGGTTAAGTTCAGCCACTAGACTTGGTACCATCCAGATTTATGTTTTAACAGCATGAGGGTAAATTGGTGCCAAGAACTGCAATTAACCCCTCCCTCATACTCCCAAACCTCAGAGTAGCTCTCCAGTTCCCCTGGAGAAAAGCATACAGATCAGTTTTGTTGTTGGCATCCATCCAGGGCCACAGATGTCTCAGGGAGCTTGTGTAGACACAGAGGACCCAGGACAAGATAGCTAGCCACCTAATAGGACACTAGCAAACCTAAGCGTTCAGATTATGGGAGACAACAATGACGGCAGAATAAAATAAGACCACAGCCCAACTAGGGATTTCTAGGATTTCTAGGAAGAAAGCTAGTCATAGATAAACATGGACATTCTCGGAGAAAACTGAAATACTAAAAAAAAAGTACGCAAATGTTTTATATATTTCATAGCTCTAAAGGATACAATGCCGTATCAAAAAGAGTTTTGTTTACTTGCAAAATTGCCTAGAAAACAAATGTCTGCAAAATCTCTAGAAAACTAAAAACATACTCAGGAAAAAATAATTACAAGTTTAACGATTAAATTTGTTCTTAAGTGTTTTTAGTTTGTGTTCTCATTAGGCTACAAGTGGCCAAATTTTTAAAAGTCCCTCCCTGAGCTCTGCCTGTTCAGAAATAAAGAAATAAAAATATGAAAACAGAAATAACACCATAGTAATAATGACAGTAAAAACAAAGGTCATTTTGTTTTCTAGACTACCAATATACAAAACAATATACGAGGTCATAAGCAATATACAAAGGTCTGACAACTGCATTTCTTAGTTATTTCATAAATTATGGTGAGAAGTGATTAGGTCAAGCAAATTGTAATTGAATATTCTCCTGGTCTCAAAAACTTATTACTATCAAATCAACGGGGAAAAAAGTACCCAGCAACATGCAGTAACTCTCTATGGGAAGCTTTTTCAAACTACATACTGTCCATGGCCCACCATATGAACTTCTCTCAATCCCACTCCTTAATGAAGTGAAGGCAAAGGAAAGGCTGACAACTAAGCCACTAAAAGAACTAATTGTTTAAAAAGGAGTTGAAAATTAGTTGCTGGTACTGTTTTAGAAAAAAAATGCCCAAAACTCACTGATAATTTTGTCCAATTAGGCTCCTTTTTTTAATATTTATGATGAATTTCACTTTGTGCAAAGTTTCATTGTTATCAGATTAAAAGAAATCAGTATCTATTATATGTAAGACATGTAGACTATGAAGACTTATTTTTAAAGAGCTGAAACCAATTTTTCTAGCTAGTACATTTGGTATATTACCAAATATAGACTAATTTCTTTCACATGTTACAGAAGATAGACTCCAAGGCTCCATCCTACAAACACATGATATCGAATACATTCCTAGAAGACATAACTGAGGGCACTCTGTTTCTGGCAACATTTGAAAGTAGCTTTCCAGTCTCAGGTACTAAATGTACTTCTCCTTTTGCAGTGAGCCAAGGGCAGAAGCAATATTAACTTACATGCCTTTCTTCAAAGACTCACGACAAATTCCTTCTTAATAAAATTCTCTTATTTGTACCACTTAGGAAAAATGATTACAATTAGTCAAGGAATGTTTGCAAACAAGCATAATCTAATTCACATTCAGTGATTCTTGAGGACAGTTATTAAGTTTTATTCTTAAACATTAAAAAAAAGAATAATGGAAAAGGCCACAATAGCCACACCTCAAAAAAACCCCACTTTTACTTAAATGACTTAATAACTAAAAACATTTCATTCTTCACATTGGTCTTTGCAAAATACCTCAGGAAGTAAAACAATTCTTTTTCTGGCTTTTTATACCTCCTATCTGGTGTTACTTAAGAGGTTCTCAGGGCCACTGAGCATCTGTGAACACCAATACCACATTCGAGAAGTTTTACGTGATCGAGCATCCCCTGAAGAAAGAGCACCATCTTGCCATGCTACCCTACTCCATTTCCAGCCTCCACTTCACCGAGCTCCTATTATTGTGATATGCTGGCAAAGTGCAAAGAACATAAGCCAGAGTCCGTTAAAATGAGGTTTGGATCTAGGCTTTACCAGTTCCTATCTGTGACCTTGGTCAATTTGTCTACCCTTTCTGAGCCCCTCTATTTCTACACCTTTTAAGATGAAATATTGTGGCCATTTGTGTTGTTTGCCCAGAGCAGCACCTCTTGCTGGGGGCAGGGCTCCTTCAAACCATGTGGTTCTTGTGGAGGCTGCCAATCAAAAATCCCCTAGTAACAGAGAGTGCATAATGTAGCCAGAGTGCTTCACTGGGATTCATTAAAATGGAACTGGTGAGGAAAAGCCGCTTCCACTGTTCTCTAAACAATAGTAAGGGTGAGCAGCACCCCTACCCTCCACCCGACCCTGTTCTGCAGAAAAGGAGGTCATTTATTCAATATATATCAACTAAACACCTAAACATCTACTATACTTGTCACTGGAGATCCACCTCTACTAAAAGAATTTACATTCTAGGAACGGATCCTCTAGCAAGAATAAAATCAACCTACAAACAGAACCAGAGAAGAGGTCAGAGTATCTTGATACCACTCAGGACCCCACGTTCAAGTCTTTGATGTTCGCTCTGGCCACAGCATTCTGGCAATTTGGCTACGTAAGCCAGCATCCTCTCCCAACACGCTCGCACACTCTCTCTCTCTCTTTTTTAAATCACTTAAAACGGAGAGACCTGACTCTTAGAATTCAACTACCTATTTTGCAGAGCTACTGTGAGGAATAAATGACATAATGACTGTAAAGCATTTAGAATAATGCCTGGACACAACTGGTTTTCAAGAAATATTTGCTATTATCATTTAAAATTTCCTCAAGATTTCCACATTCTTCCAAAGTTAAAGATCCTGGCACAAGATCGAGTACTTTTGTAAAGGTCTAGCTAGTTCTAACTATATCATAAGGACACCTTATTGGAAGGATACACTTACTTCTGCTCTCAGATTAGAAGTTTCTTCATCAGCTAAATGTAGGGGTTTTATCTAAGACTAGCACAGCCCCCAGCAAAGCATGAGAGACGCTTCAGAAAAACGTCTAATTATGAAAGTGTGATATACTATTAAGTCATTCTAAAATTGTGCTTTCACATCAACTTCCTCTTTTATCACTTACCAGCAATTAGACCTTTATGTTACTCAGCAAATTTATTCAACCCAAATAGACCTAGGAATCAAAAGATCACCACACTCAGGTATTTTTTGCAAAGGAGTTCACTAGAGCAGTGTCTCCACATTTTTTAGAAACTGAGCTGTGCCTGAACCTGCCTGTGTGGTAGACAAGACAGCAGTGCCCAAGGATGTCTGTCCTAATCTCCAGGACCTGTGACTGTGTTACCTTACATGGCCAAAGGAACTTCACAGGTGTGATTAAATTAGGATCTGGAGTTACAGAGATTATCCATGTTGGCTCAGTATAATCGCAAGGGTCTTAAAAAGTGGAAGAGGGAGGCCAAAGAGAATGTCAGAAAAGAGATATGACAAAAGAAGCAGGGTCAGAGGGGCACCTGGGTGGCTCAGTTGGTTAAGCATCTACCTTCGCCTAGGTCATGATCCCAGGGCCCTGGGATCCAGTCCTGCATTGGGCTCCTTGCTCAGCAGGGAGCCTGCTTCTAGCCCTGCCTGCTATTCCCCCTGCTTGTGCTAACAAATAAATAAATAAAATCTTAAAAAAAAAAAAAAAAGAAAGAAAAGAAAAAGCAGGGTCAGAGAGATGCTATGTTGCAGGCTTTGAAGGAGGAAGGATGCCAGGAGCCAAGGAATTTAGGCAGTCTCTAGAAGCTGCAAAAGGCAAGGAAATGGATTCTCTCCTTAAGCCTCTAGAAGGACCCCAGCCCTACAACAGCTTGACTTTAACCTAGTAAGACCAGTGCTAGTCTAGTGAACTAGTGAACAAAAGAACTGTAAAATGATAAATCTGTATTTTTTTTAAGCTACTACATTTGTGGTAATTTGTTACAGCAGGAATAGGAAATGACTACACTAACAAACTTCAATTAATTTGTTTCTGGACCCATTGCCAACATTCTGAAATACTAACCCTTCCCTCATCACTTGGTGTTGCCCAAATATTTACTGAGCAAGTTCTTCATTCCAATACACAGACCAATGATGAAATGCTTAATATAGAACACTTCTATTACACATGATGCAGACACTACCTTCAGATACCACTTAAGTGCTATCCCAGGACAAAGGTTGGCAATAAACTACAGATAATTTCCTTTCAAGACTCAATTCTACAACTAGTTCTCCACCCAACCATTCTGCAATCTAGTGTTCCTATAGGGGATGCCAAGCTGGACGGTACCTGCAGGACAATCGTTAAAATCAATGGTTTCTTAGTCTCTCCCAGAATGAAATCACAGCAATCCGACAGGAAAACGTAGGTCATAGAATCAGGATTACCCAGTATGTTGTCCTCTTCTGAGCACTGATAAATATTTTAATAGTTCTGATTTAAGATTATCTGACATCTTGACAGTTCTGAAGGCTATTCCCTCTTAATTAATAAGGTTATTCCCAACCAATTAATAATAGATTCAAGGACCATTTAAAAATAAGTATATGTATCATATAAACATCAATGACCCCATTTTAACACAGATGAACAGAATAAGAACTCCAGAATGTGACCTGTATTAGGCTGGGTTAATACAGAACTCTTCTACCAATTTTTTGTTGTAGTAGTTGTTTTGTT